GGATTCAGACTGGCATCCAGGGAATCACTGTAGACTTTCTTCTCCCTCTGAAAGTATTGAATTATTTTATAGTATAATATATCCAGATACGGTAATGAAGAAATATATCTTCCAGACTTTTGCCCTTATTCCTGGTTACCGAGATTTAAGCATTCTGTTCATGCTGCTTCAAGGACAGTATTAACATGCAGCTTTTTCACTACGCAGCCGTCTGCAAGCGGTTTAGATGTGCACAGTTATAAGGAGCCTCAACTCAAAACTGTGCGGTTTTCTGGTCTCATTATTTGTTTTGGGATTATTTTTTTCCCCTGAGGTGAACTGAAAATATTTTGTATTTGAATTTCTCCCATTCTTTTTGTTGAAGGTATGTGCTGGGGAAAGAAGGGGGCATGAATCCAAGACTGGTCCCTTGTGAGATATAAAATCATTCCTCCCTCCAGTAATCTTCCAGGCAGCTGCTGTCTAAAATTTTCAAAGAAGTGTCTTTAAAACAGGTAAGGAGAGCTGCCCGCTGTGCTGGTTGTGCTCCCCAGTGCACGGTGACTGTTGGTGGGAAGCCACCACAGACACACTGGGAAATGGGGAGAGCAAGGGAGAGTGGCTGCTCTGCTCTCTGCTCCCTGGCTGGCTGGGAGGGTTTGGTGGTGGCCCCATGACATTGGCATCAATGTCCTACACACAGATGGCACTGGCAAAAGCAATGGTGTAGAATCCTTGGCGTTACAGACACAGGAGAGGGGCTGGTGAGGGCAAAGTCATCAATACTGGGACTTCTGGCATCTGATTCCTCTTCCTCACGCTCTCAACCTCTCTGCCTCCCTGCAAAGCCATTTCATCCCCTGTGCTCCTTCATGGGGCTGGTGGCACTTGGTTCTTTCGTAAAGCCCTTTGGGATCTTCTTTTGAAGGAACTGGTTATTATTCCATGCACTTACCAAGGGTCAGTTAACGTTTTTAATTGCTTGTATGTGTCAGGTCCTGTATTCTTCAGTAAGCACTTGGAGGGAAATCTGACATAACGTGCTTCCCTCAGATTGCTTAACAGAGCATCGCAGGGAGCTGGGCCTCTCTGCAGGGTGTGTGCCAGTCTGCAAGTGTCACCTCCAGCCCCCCAAGCTGTTGTGTGCCTGGGTGGAAACAATTGGGGGTTGGGGGTGGCCACAGCAGCTAATGATATTGCTGGGGTCTTCTGTTTTCTCCTCTTGGCTGGAAGGAGCAAGGCTGCGTAAGAGCAGTCTGGGCTGAGCACGGACCGGTCCCAGGGGACAGTGAGGTTCCCACTTTCCTTAGGAATGAGAAAGGAATCTAGAGGGGCAGTGTTGATGGCTTTTAATGCAGGAGGGAATTAAGGCTCTGTGATGTCTTGCTGTGGGACCCTGGACAGACGTTGCCATATAAAATAACTGCTCTTATTTCATTATTCTTCCCTGTAACGTGCAGCCTTCTTCCTTACTCGTAGTTGTTGCAAATCTTTATTAATATTTATAAACTGCTTTCTTGTTTTCTGATAGAGAGACCAAATTCCAGTGCAGCAGTCACCGACAACTGTTTTCCAGTTGTGCCTCCCGTAATTAGTGTTACTGTGCTATTCCCCAGACCTACCCGATACCATGGCAACGTTATTTAATTGCGGAGTCAACTGGCCCACTCTTGAAGATAACTACTGTGCGGTGTGGTACGGCTTGACTCCTGTGTTGATTCTGGTCTCAGTGCTATCAGGGGTAATTTCATGTTTTATTCTAAATCTGTAATAATTATAATTTCAAATTATTAAGCAAAAAGTATTGAAAAAGGAAAATAAGAATAATTAACTTCTCATCAATGTCAGGGCTAAAAAGTAGGCTTTCAAATAGTAAATAACATAAGTGGGTTGTAATTCACGGTGCCTTAAGAGATGTCACAGGGGGACACAATTCTAAAGAAACATACAAACAAGAGCCTTAGAGACTCCATAAATTTAATGGAAAAGTTCCATTAGTTTCAACGGGAGAAAGAAGATGATTGTGTGTCAGAATATTACTAAATTAAAATTAAGTGGGGTTAGAACATTACCTGTGAATATTGCCTACATTGGCTGGAGGTAAGCAGTTTTGCATTAACATCAGATAATTTTTTCAGTAGCAATCGGCTTGCACATAGTGAGTTTTCCTCCTCTTCTGGCAGGAGAGATGCCACAATGATTATTATAATGTAACTTATCCTTTCTGGGGCTATGAAGTTGTTGAAGCAATTATTTTATAGGTTGCTTATTCTTACTCCGGATAAGAATCAGCCATCCCAATTAGATAGAAATGTGCATACATGGGAACATTGCAGAAAACACTCAGCCTGACAGAAAGTCAGCAAGGGGAATTTCAACCCAAATGGTTTAAATCTGCCAAAGTTAGTAACAACAGAAAAGAGGGTCTTGTAATGGAAAATGTCAGGCCGTTGCACTCGCAGATAATGCTACCTGGCCTGTCTAAGGTGGATATTTTATGTAACCAAATAGCAAGATAGGCTTTATTTTTCTTTTTACTCCCATTAATTGCTCTGCTGTTGCAAACATGTAATGCAAGTTGACAGGAATGGTTTTTTTCTACCCTGTTCCAAGTCTTCTGAAATGTCATTGGCTCTGGGAAAGAAGGGGGAAAAGGAGAAAACTCCTCACCTGGAATTGTGGTATATTTAAAGGGTTATTTTCCTTTCTTGCTGCCTGTCTCAGGACTGCCTTGTGTTCAGACAATGCCAGCTCTTCTGCCTCTCCTGATCTTCTGCCCAGAACATGGTGTTATTTCAGACAGACTGGGAGTTCTCCTAATTAAAGTAGCTGTTTTATTGGAGCTCACATCCAGTTGGATACCAGATAATTTGGTCAGAGAAACTGGAGTTGCAGGAAAACACTGAATATATCTCCACTTTTCATTTTTGATTGTCCCTCCCCTCCTTTCCATAATATTTTAATCTGACCCTGATTTGACCCAGTCAAATAATTTAGCAGGAACATATGCAGCACCTTGTTCTGCAGTTCCCCATATGGCACAGTGAGGGAAGGAAAGCTGGTGCCAATTGCAGATCCAATTATAGCCAAGCAAGGTTGCTCCATTATTGCATTTGAAGCCATAATTAAATTTGCTAACCGTGAAGAGGTGCCAAACCTGCCATTTCTTTGGAATATGGGACATCTGTTTAGTGCTAATGCTAACATGGGATTTGAGAGGAAACATCAAAACTTCCATTGGATTCTGCCGTTTCATTTCTTCATTAAAAAAAAAAAAAATCTTCCAGTTGGTAGCTCCTTGTTTTTGGTTTTAAATTTCTTGAGGCATTTCTAAACTGATGGTTGCAAAAGCTCTGGGTCCTGGGTAAACCAGATCCCTTGTGGAATTGTGGGGAGAAGCATTAAGGCAGCTGCTCCAGAGCTACCGTACCCCGGGGCGTTCTCTCCGCGCAGGTTGAGCTGATGCAGCTCAATGGCTGCTCTTCAGCCGACGCTGTGCTCGGGAGACACTGTGCCCTCCCTGTGTCCATACTCCCCATCCTTCTTAAATGTGGTTCCTTCACAGATTTTCTAATAAATGGGTATTTTTTTAAATAACCGGCATCTTTTAAGTGTGACCAGGTTTTGCAGTCAAAGAAGCCTCGGCCCATTCACTTTCTCCTGCTCCATGTCATTGTCTGGCCTTGATTTTCCCCGTCTGCTCACCCTCTGCCCGGAGCTGCCTCTTACCTTTCCCTGAAGGTGCAACCACCCCTAAAGGCACGGTTACAATTGCGTGCATTTTGGGTGAATTTATATGTTCCTTGCTGCCTGTCGTGGTACCACCTCACACAAGCTCAGCATGGGACGGGTTTCTGATGGGAGACTGTGGAAACCCTTATGCTGTGTAGACTTGTATACACTCCCCACCAAATTCCTCTGCAAAAAAAAAAAGGACCGTATTTTTCTTTCATCTGGCAGCATTAGAAAAACACACGTACCCTAAAGTACCCAAAATGGTGATTTTTCTACCGTGTGATCCCTGATTTCAGTGCAAGGTGAGACAGGTTCTGTGCCCAGTGGTCCTTTGTGCCTTTGAGTGTGCAGTGACCAGGAAAATAAGAACAAAGTTCCCAGCAAAGCAGGGGTGCCATGCCCCTGGGCTGAGCAGAGCAAGAAGGAGGATGAACAGAAGCAGATGCAGGGTAATGCCAACACCTGAAAGCTTTAACTGTATTTTAGTGACTGGGAGAAACACAGGAGCAGGAGTTGCTGCTCTCACCATCCAGGCACAGCAATGAGAGCTGCCCTTTAGCATTTCAGCACCCAGGTCTTTCGTGGGGGAGATACAGCTCTGTGCTTGGGCACTCAGTCCTGACATCATTTAAAACAGGCTCGATATGGATATCTGTCTTCACATTTTTTCTTCTTCACATTTCTTCTTCTTCACATACTTTGCAGTTGTTCAGAGCTGAGATTACTCACTCTTAAAATGAGAACACAATTTGCTAAATGGAATGTCAAAATACATGGGGGAGTTGGATGCACTCTCTTGGTATATTTTTCCCCCAATGAGTTAATGTTTTTATGAGTTAATGTCCTTATTGTTAATATACAGCCTGGTTATGAAAAATGAAAATATAGCAAGTCTGTGTAGGAGGGAGAAAAAAGCAGCAAGGTTCAGGTAAAATGCCTCCAGAGATTCAATTGGAGACAGGATGATGGATTCAGCCGTTCATTCCCAAAATATATTATGGCTGTAAGAACAGGCACTGAAAATATTAAAAATTAAAACATAGATTTCCATTATTACCTTTAAATGGCAGTTGAGAAATTTGTGAGGCTTAGGGTTGAGAGTGCCTATGTTATGATCTGGCCTATAAGAACACCATTTGCTGCTGACAGGTATCAAAATGCAATGTAATTACACTTCTAATCAGACATGTATGTTTCATCATCATCTAACGATTCTATATGCATTTTTCCTCTTAGAGGTTCAGAGAGAGGGAGACAGAGCTACAACCCAAGACCCAAGAGACTGCAATACAGATATATTTACAAGTACTTTGAAGCGTGCATTTGGCCGGCAGCCTCAGAAGTGACAGAACAGTGCCTGGTGGTTTGGAGCACCTGCCTGCAAAGCAAGATTTCATCATTCCCTTCTCATCTCTCCCCTGAATCAGAGGCTCCACTCACAAACCAGGTAACGCCTTGGCTCATTTTACTGGCCTGTGAGAAATTCTAGTTTTCCACCAAAGTCTGAGTAGTTAAATAACAGTTGCTAAAATCACAGCATACTCTTTACAATTCTTTCACAATTAGAAAATATTGACAGACTACAATGAATAACCAAATGGTACATCACTGGCGAATTACTGAATGCTATCATGAGGTCTAAGGTCTGGGCGTGAGTTCGTTGAGTTTAGAGTGGGACTTTCACCCTCCCCTATTTCAAAAGGCACCGTTACAAACACTCGCCTCCATCAGCCGATTTCAACCAAACCAGAAGTTTTCTTTTTGCCTCTGCAAAAAGCTCCACAAAACTTTAGAGCACTCCAAATGGTCTGAATGAAAAATACTTGATTTTAATTGCACTAGACCTTACATAGGTTGCTCTGAAAGCTGGCGATATGATATAATTCTTCTCTTGTGTTTAGACATATGCGTAGAAAGAGTCTTTGGAGCTGGATACATAATTCAGTTAAATTATTGGTGGGATGATAGACTAAGGTCAACACTTCGCTGTGTTCCTTACACATATTCTGGTTGGTTTTTTTTCACTTGTCAAAGCATTAGAAGAACACCACTAAGGAAAAGGACTTCTTCAAATAGAGTTGGACGTGAACTTTTGTACGAGGACATCTTCTGTACCGGTGAGTGCAGCTGATGCTCTGAGAGCTTGAGAGGGAATCTTCAGGTAAGGAACATATCTCTGCCAGGTGATCTGCTGGTCCTTAAAGGACGCAAGGCAGTTCTTGATGTTGAGATGATAATTTAGTTTAAAACAGTATAACTCTTCCTGATCACCCACACTCGAAAGGGGTGTTTTTTTCCTTCATTAGAGATTACATGGAAACTTGAACAGAATTCCCAACCGAAGAACATAAAGGGTTGCTGAGCCAGTGTTTTGCAATTTGTTTCCCACCTTTTATTCTTATCTCCATCTTCATATTATTAATTCTGGGTAAAGAAGTAAACTCTCAAAATCACTGAATTTTTGGTACTTTCAAAAAGATTTTGGGTTCCAGAATCTTTCACGATCCCAAATAACTATATAGCCTCTCATTTCTTAGGATACCTCAGGGCATTTTCCAATTCAGTTAGGCCACTGCAAGAATATTTGTAATGAATACAAATCCGCTTTTTTTCTTGTACTGTCTGGCTCCTGCCTTTAGATATTCTGTACCTATTATTCAGTATCCTTTCTGAAAGACTTTATGGTTCTTTCATGTAGATTAATAAGACTGTAATCAAACACAGTAAAATGTCTATGGCCAATTCATTTACAGAATATCAAAGGAATAAAAGTAATGGTACAATAGTGCTATTTATATTACAATCCCTTGCAACTCAATAAGTTCTTCTTACGGCTTGGCCTGCTGTGAGAGTAGGAACTGATGTCACCATCTGTTACTTTTAGGGAGCTCCTTTTGCTCCCATGTTCTTCAAATGATAGGCTCGTGGTCCCAGGTGTCACTCATGGAGACATGAAGCAATGTTTTCAAGTTCATAGTGCATTAGACAACAGCGGGAGGGCACCGAGGTCGCTGGAGCTTGGATGGAAAGGGCTGCAAGGGATTTTCATTATTTAAATGACCCTGCAGAGAAGACAGCACACATGGCCATTAATGTCTTGTCCATAAGTTCGGGCTTTTCTGCTCTCAAGACGTGTGATTTGAATATTTGTTTTATGGAACCTCACAAAGTCTGTGCCAGTGCCAGGACCTAGTGCACAGTCAATGCTTCTAGACTCTTTTTTATAGCAAGGATTTATAACATAGATTAGCATTTGTGCCTTTTCTTTTTTTTTTTTTTACCTCTGACGATTTTAATTTTATTGTGGGATACTCAAGGGTTTGTCAATCCAGGGGTGCATTGCTGAATGGAGTTCACCTTCCAGGGGTATTTTTAACTTATGTGTCTTTTTTGCTATTTCCTGCAGTTGTGGGGAAGTGGCTCAGTGACCTAAAGGATCCTTTCCTGTCACTAAGACAAATGCTTCCGTATTGAATCTATTATGTTCCAATTTCATATAATGAATTACTGCTACTGACTTGGCATAAACCAATATAAAAATATGCAAGAGGACAAAAGTATAAAATGATATACCAAGGAGCAGTTTTTCCATACCCAATTTCTTTTATTTCCATGACTTTTGGGGTTTTGCTTATGTTTTTGTTTCAACAAAGATTAATATATGTTTAGAAATAATTTACAAAATAGAAGTTCTAAGATCTGATAGGCTCTGTGAAGTAACTAAAGGAGGTTTGACAGATGCATAACTTTGAATGGCTAGATAAAACCCAAGCAAGATTAGGTGTGTGGTTCCTGCCTAGAGAGATGAGATATTTCAAATCTGATATTTTACCTCTCAGATCATTCATTCTAATGTATCCGTTCCTCTGCTGTCGACCAAGTGAAAGCAGGAAAAGATTATGCACCCTCTTTGTTAACTTGGTGTTAACTTATGAAAGGTGTTTTTGGGGAAACCCATTGCTCTTATAATCAGGCCTTAAACTCGTGGCTGCTCTCATTCTGCTGCATTGCTCCTCACCTGGGTGACACAGGGGAGTGCCCAGAGCAGCCCTCCTGTTTTACCTGTTGTGGAGCTTCAGGAAAAAAAAGTAAGGTCAGTCCAGGCAGTGAAATACCTCATTGCAGAGAATTTATTACATGGAAAGAAATGTTGTATATATGCCAGTTTTTTACTGGACTCTAGTGCTGATGGCATTATAGAAGTAATTTCTAATGGGTCCTCAGGGCACTAAGATATTAACCTACAAAATCAATGTACATCTTGCTTCACAGAGGAGTTTTGGCACGTTTACCAGGGCAGTTGGTGAGGCTTGGTTTTCAGGTGTCTGCCCATTGAGCATTGAAGGGATTCGAGTTCCTAAATCACTCTTATGCTTCTAAGAACTCTGCCTTGTATGCTGTGTGTCTTGTCACATAACAAGTTACTGCTGTGAGCAAGTGAATTTTCAGTGCTAAAATTTCTGCAAAACACCTGCTTTCTCATCTCTTTTTTTTTAATTATTCTTTTTTCAAAGAGACTGGCCTCAAAGCAGTATCCAAGTCAGCAGATTAAAAGGGGTTGTTCACGACAGAAAGTCCAGCAGAAGGAACTTCCCTGAAATACGCTGTTCTGGGAGGAAGCCAAATTAATAGTTTTTTTATCAGTACTATAACAAGGCAGCAGGAGTGCTCTAATTACCAGTGTGTAATGAGAAACCCAACGCTATATTGAGGAGAATAACTGTCCTGAGTCTTGTGGCCATTAGGGATATAATTTTTTAAAATATTTTTTGGGTTTCACTCTTTTGGCGTTTTGGTGCCACTTCCTTCCCACCAAGCCACCCTTGCCATACCAATGGCACCACCCTCATTAGCTGTTGCAGGTTCCAAACAAGAGCCAAACTTCAAGGCACAAATTCCTAGAAATGAAACTCGAGTGTTTCAGCTGTTCACAAAACTACAGATTTTGCAGTCAAAGGTGAAAAATTTCCTAAATGGTGGAGCAAGAAGAACATGATTTGACCATATCTTTACCTCGTATAAAAAGATAGAGACCATTGACATGTGTCATTGAAAATATCATCTGAAGCTGAAGTGGAATTGCAGTCAAAAACCCTTCAAGTAATCATACAAGGCTTAAAGAGCGAAAAGCAAGAATTATTTCCAAAATGCCAAAAACCTTTCTCCTAGGAAAATCTTTAATTTGTTGCTGACTTTCTGTACATAGGGTTTTTAGATGACTGGGGAGGCGATGTCAACATTCACTAACAAACTTTCAGTGAAGTAGTAGGAAGTCTGGAGATGACATCAGCATCTTGTGACAGTGGTGGCTCCGGCTGGAGGGCCCTATCTCTGGCACATCACTTCTGGCAGGTTGTGATGGGGTTTATGGTCACACTTCAGCAGATGGCTTCACCAGGGTTTTGGTTGTTTTCACTTGGAAGGCAGGGAAAAGAAGTACCTTGATTTAGTAGAGAGTGCTGCATGAGGAACTGAGAAACATTTTTTGTGAGTTTGTAAGTTCTCTAATCTCTCTGATGTATGCTCTGAATGTATGTATGTATACTCTGATAGGTATTGGAAAATATTACTGAAACTTTGCAAAATGGATTATCCAAACTTTTTGTTCAATTCCCTGACTTTTGGGAAAAAAAAAAAAAAAAGTCCTGAGAACAAATATCATCTCCTTATACCAAGTCAGATGCCATTAGAATAAAATTGTTGTGATGAATAATATAAAGAATCAATTTTTATGCTTGGAATTAATTTTCTGAATAGTGATCCGCTGAATGTTGCCATAATTAGTGCATTCCTTGTAAAGCTATCAGCATATCTTTGTTAGGGCTGAATTCACCATGCAGTTACAGCTCCACTTTTAAGTGCTCACCATCATCAGCTGCGGCCAGAATTTCAAGAGCACAGTTTACTATTGGCACGAAGAATGTGTTTCTGGATCTAAGAAGGAGCTCACTGTATTTTTTTCATTTCAACTGATCCCAACTTCTTTAAACAAAAATGAAGTAACTTGCAGTTTGTTTTCTGGGCTTATTGGTATTCCCAGGACACTAATGGGCTCAGTTCTATCTGTTGAAATGGGAAGAGGACACAAGTTTTCTCAAACAGGTTTTCAGTGAGCACCTTGAGATGGAACATTGATTGCACATTCTGCCCCCATGCTGTCTCTGTCTACAGGACAGTTAGCATTCCTGGTGTCACTCAAAGTGAACTTTTACTGCCCACAACAACCTATTTCTGTAGCAAAGGTCAGATTTGTTATCTATCAGGATGTAGCAGCACAGTGGAATAATGAGTTGCCACAATGAACCGGCCTTTTTACCTTCTGAATGGGCTTCTAAATCAAGTAGAGGGAGCATTGACTGAAAATCATTGGGTCTGTCTACTTGAAAGGTCATAGTCTGAAATACTGCAAGATAATTTCACCCTGGTTTATATAGTGAAGCAATCTCTAGTACAAAACCCACCACCTACACCAGTTGTTCAATTCTCTAGCCTTTTGGTGATTCAAGATAGTAATGGGAAAAAAGAAAGACTACTTGGATCAGTCACAGACCTAAATTAGTCAAGGAAAAATAGAAAGCAATAATGGTTTGGCTTTTTTTTTTATTTATATTTTTCTCCGTGGCAAAAGCTGCTATAGCTTGCAGTGACTTTCCTTAGAGAAGGCACATGCTTTCTTAAAGTCCAGGTAGAGCTGCCTGCCTTGGCCAACGGTGGAGGTCACCACAGCCTGTGTGGGGCTGTACATCTTTCCAGGCCTTGCTTTCCTAAGTAGTTTATTTTGTCTTGCTTAATACTCAGTTAAATATACCCATTTCCTTTCAACCTTACTTCTCTGACCTAAGGCCCTTCTCTTTCCTCTCCTCAGTCAATACAGGGTATTATTTAAACACAAGGCTGCAACTTCCACTCTAGCCAAAGACAGACATGCAGTTCACACGGTCTCTTTGCCTGTGACAGCGATGTCTGGTTTTCATCAGTTCATCATGTTCATCAGTTTTGTCAAATGGAGATGTGACATCCTCAGGTGCATAAAAGCAATACTCAACATTATAAAAGTAAAAAATAAATTCCAGTAACTGGTAAATTAAGATCTTAATAAATACAACTGCTGCTTGATCAGTTTTAGAAGGGTGTTTGCCGCTTGATATATGGATAAGCATCCAATATTAGGCCAAAAATTCTGTCTTTCCTCTAATTCCCATTTCTTTTACAGATAAGCCAAGCAAAATCCATTGTCAGTAACATCTGAAACAAGCAAAAGTGAAGAATGTCAGTCTAGACAGGGTCCAGTTCCCTACCTGAAATTGGCTTTGCACTGTGTTATTTACCTTTATGATGTTACATCAATACACCCAGCTTTTTCCAGTAGCCATAAAAATATTTAGTTTTACTGCTCCAAGACAATGCTGTGACTTGCAAAATATCTTGAGCTCTGGACATGAGTGAATTTTCCACCTGAGTGAATTTATCCTCCTCATACAAATTTTTCTCTGACGCAAGGCAATTTCACCTCTTTGGTGCAGGAGGCAGAGTATTTTTGGCTACTGATCTGAAGCTGCAAAGCAAAGTACTAAGAGTAAATGATTAACACAGACCTTTCCATCTTCCCTATCAAAACCTGCCAGGCATCTCTGAATTACTGTTCTTCACTGAATACAGAGCTGTGGGTAAAAAAAAAACCAAAACAAAACCACACGCACCCCATGAAAATAAAAGTGAGCACTCCATGTCTCACACGGTGCTCTCCAGAGGCAGGATGAAAGAAAAAAGAATAAACCATATCTGACAGATGTTAATGAAACACAGAGGCTCATTTTAATGAAGCACTGGAAAGTGGCCAGTCTATTGTAGTTAGGACTTTATTAGCCAAACAGAAAAAGGAAAGGACACAAAGAATTTTTTCTCTTTTCTAAAAAGTATCCTCCGTTAATGATGCTCGGGAGAGTTTTGTATGGTTGTCACAGGGCATCTTCATGGGTACACGAGCAGAAACCCTTACCTCCTAAGAGGCAGAAGTGCTCTGAGGACAGTACAGTTCTTGGGCACCAGCACAGCTCCATCCAGATCTGCGTGTTAAATCCTCCCGTAGCTACTTGGGGAACAGTTTCAAAAGGTCAGTAAGCACCACAAATTCCAAATGAGAGTTCCTGAATTTGGTTCCAAAAAAAAAAAAAAGGCTGGATTTTTCTCTGTTCTCCCACTGTAAATGCTACTCAGGCAGTTTAGAGTGATGCTGCAGAACAGCTCTTCCCAGGGACACCCAAAAACCTCCCACTTTTCTCTGAGTAGATATCAGCCAGTGACATGGCTGCTGTTGCTTGGAGCAATACAAGGCTGTGCCTGGCTGCTGCTGCTTTGAACCACATCTGGTGTTGTAAGCAGCCCACTCGTGTTTTAGCTGCCATCACCTAGGGAGGTTATGATATTTAAACATGTTACCTTTAAAACAATATTAGGAGGAATAAAATATTAAATTAAATGTAATAAAGAGATAAAGAAACATGTGCACAAGGTAAAATGCTAACTTTAAATATTAAAAAAACCCAAAACAAACGAGTTGAGGGAACCTGTGGACCAGCAGTCTCAAGATTTATTCCACATTATTATATTAACTTCAGGATTTAAATTTGGCTTTTGTTCCAAGTAGACTCCTTAAGGAGTTGTAGATAATTTTCAACATATTTAAAAGTGTACACTGAGCCCTCCCAAAAGAGTAATTTCATTAATTGCTTGGTACTGCTGCTGCTTGGACTTATAATCCTTTTTTTAAATTACAAAGAGTATTCAAGCCAAGACATCTTCCCTACATGAAGCACCACAAAAGATTACCCTCTATGATTCTGCTGCTGCTGTTGACACAGTGGTCCTCTGCAAATTTCATGATATTTCTGGAAAGGGATCTGTTTATAATATTATTAATGTACACATGATCCCTACAAACCTTCATTTTAATCTTGGTTAAATAGCCAAGTTATTAAGTAGTAATTCCTGGTGCTGGAAAAAACATCATCATCCCATGAGACAAAACAGGAACAGGGAATGTTTAAGGCACTGGCATTTTAAAGCTAATTTAAGGAGGATTTATCACAATTAGAAAATGAGATAATGAGGGATATATGCAAATTGTCTGGCTAATAGTGATCCACATTCTACCACCGTCACCAAGCTGAAGCAGAGGTTAGAGGGGCAAACTCCTGCCCTGTCTGCAAACACCCATGTGACTGCAACAGCACAAGCTAAGCCTTTCCATCACTTTCCAAAGAATCAGTGTGAGAGCAGCTGTGAGTAGTATTTAATAGCCCAAGACAACTGAAATGCTATTGAAAAGAATAAGAGAATTTCTGTGGCTTAAGGCAATATAATTAACCCTGCCTTCTGCTCTGATTTATCTACAGAAGAAATACCTAGCACAAATTTTATCGACTCCACTTGTGATTTCTGCAAAGAAAGGCTTGTGAAAAGGTGAATGCTGGATTAAGTCTTCAGGATTAAGAAGTTGTTTAAGTACCATCTCACAGGTGTTCTGCATCTCCGACTAGAGCTGCCCGTCTGTCGAACAGGTGGGTGCAGGTATGCACTTCAATGCCATTAATACTCCACAGGCTGCAGTTTCAAGCCTGCCTTCTAAATCTTCTGGTTCCTCGTCCCCTTTTAGTGATTATATAGGCTTTATTCCTGTCCGTGCTAAGACTGGGTTTTCCCTGTGAAGCTAAAAGTCTGTGTGCATGTGGATGGATCAATAGAAGGAAGAAGGTAAAGTGAGCAAGCAAGGCACACAGGCAAAATGGTCGGGGTTTTTGAGCTCTCTCCAGAAGTGGCATTAGTATTACGTGAGAATGGCAGCTCCACTTGGCAAGAGCTGAGCTGAAATCTGGATCAATGCATGGTAGGAAAAAAGAGAAAATTGGGCCATGGAATAGCAAGCCATCTGATGGATGTGAGAGAGGTGGATATTTTAGAAGGTTAATCCTAATAGAGAAGGCAACAAAACATATGAAAGGAGTCTAATGCGTGCCAGTTTCCAGGAAAAAAAAGAAAATTTAACAGCAATTCTGCTACAGGGGCAAGCTCTAAATAATGGGCAAGCGCTGTCAAAGGTTTGGCTGACTAGATCTTCTCTGCAGCAATATAAGCCACACTGCTTATAGAAAAGAAACTAATAAAAAAATCTGATGTTCCAGATTTTATTACTTTTGCCTAGTTGTAGTTGAAGGTGAGACTTTGCAGAAGACCTCTTCAGAGTCTGGGGATCCATGGGAAACGGTTTTAAGGTCTAATGAAAACCCCAAGTAGATTATCTAAATATATGCAAAAAAACTTTGGTATCAGTGTTAGCAGTGGGTTTTGTTCATTGTTGTATTTTGCTGTGTGTTTTTCTTGGGATCATCTAAAGGAAATACCAGGATCTTTAAAATACATTAGCCCAAATTTGGAATACTTACTTTATGCATTGCCTCCATGTGGTAAATTAAATTTCAGGGCAAAGCGAATTAAATTTTGGAGCAAGTAAAAGGGTCAGCCTGAGGGTTTGTAGCCCCATCAATAATGGAACTTGTGTTCTAATATGAAATTAATTCAGCACATCCTGTTTTACGTGGATAATTTAACACAGCAGCTTTCAAATTTGCTGAGACTGAAGGCTAAAGTCTCAATAAGTCATTTAAAACATGTTCAAAAAATTGAGATATAGTAATTTTTCAGCTTACCTGGCTCTTAGCTACGTTTTGTGCCAAAACTATGGAATAAATTCACTTTACTCCTTTTTAAGCCCTGCACTGTTTCGAGCCTATATTGATTTTATATTTTTTAAAGTGGAGCTATGAATTGTTTTTTGTGACTGATAAGGAGGGCAGCAAGAAGCACACTGTGTCTTTGTAGCTTCCAAGTGTGCTTACTACTATCAAAACCAGCTTGATGCAAACTTAAACCCAAGCTGCTGATGCAGACTTTTAGCAAGAAAGCGCTCAGAGGAAGAGATTTGTGTGGAAGAAAAGCAGAGTTGATTGAAACAAGGAGGTCTGAAATTAAATGCAATGTTTCTAGTCTTTGTTAAAAAATCAGGAGATGTTTCCCTTCCATCTTGAACTCTCCAGATGTGTCTGACCTTATTCTTCTCCTGCTGGATATATTTTTTTCTGTGCAATCTAGAAATTTTTCAGGAAGGTTTTGCTTGTGTTTGTGGGCTATTATAGATTAGTTAAAAATTTCTTATGTGTTTCAGATATGCTTCAAATATATTTAAAATTTGAAACAGTTTTATTTTTCAGTATCTTTCTGTATTAACTCTGTTGTTAAATTCTTCTTGTTGGTTTAGTGAAGCTGAATTTGCCCTTTCAGTAATTCTGCCTAACTAAAACCAGAGGTAAAGCAGAATCAATATTAATCTTCTTATGCCCAGGGGAAAACAAGTGTTTGCCCCCGTGGTCCATCTCTAGACTAGAACTGGAAGACCTCACACTTTGTTTAGTGTGGTTTAAATCTGGTCTCAAAGTCCATCCTTGCTGCCCCTGCAGCCTCTTGCAAACTTCAGCTCTTGTTTTGTTCTCTTTTTTTAGGGATCCTCATATTGTTTTCCTCACCTTAGAAATGTTCAGTGCTGCACTAAATTACATGACTAACATCTCACAAGCACGGTTTGTTTCTTCAGGAAGTGCCAGGAGATGGGAGTCAGAAATAGAAGATCACTCGCTGTGCCACAGGGAAAATGTGGTAACATGGATACAGTCTCTAGCTCCCTTCTTCATCCTCCCGGTCCCACAGCTCTGTAACCATGTAGGGAATATTAAGAAAAATAGGTAACCAATATAGTGCAAACATTCGAAAGGAAACACACAGTTATTGAAGTCTGAAATAACTTGGTCTTGACATAAAATTCCCACCAGGTGAGCAAATCCAGTTGCCCTTAGCAAGTAAGGGTTAATATACTGCAAATCTTGCTTTGAGCAACACTGACTACAGAAACAAGACTGAAAACCATGTCCAGTCCCACAGATGTTTCTGCTTTTTGGCTAGTTCAGTTGTTTCTTCATCAAATTAGGTCTCTGGAGTCAAGATAAAGATGCAGATGCCTTGGGTATGTTTACACGGTGCATCAGAGATCTCTGACCCGCTCTGTTCCACGCACACAGACCTGTTCAGCTCTGAATGAGGATGCCAGCTCGAGTCCCAAAAGCAACACGTAAGCTGCATCAGTGCATCCTTTGGCTTACACTTCAGGCTCACTTCTCAGCACAGCTTGTAAATGCAGCGAGACTCTCTCCATTTCCAACGCCAGGCTGGCCCTGGACATGTACACATCTCCATGTTGACTGATTTTTAGAATCCTTGTTTTCCAACACTTGTGTTTGTTTCCGATTTGGAGCATTTTCATGTCTCATGGAATAAGGTCGATTTGAAATGTTACTTTTAATTCTAGCAATTCTCTGTTCATAAATGCAAGGTTATCTAAATGGAAATTTGTTTTGAAATAAAAATAAGTTCTCTGTTTTCAAAAAACATTTACAGGACAGAGAAGTGTTGAGTATCTGATAAATTTTGATTGGTTCTTATTCTTTAAAAGCTACAAGCTGAAATCATCATTATTTCCATAGCACCTGAAGACATTAACAAGGCCTGGAAGCAAGTGGAAAATACTGCATCATGGTCCCTACGCTTACTTTCTATTAAAAAAAGACAAGTAGGTATAACTAAAATTCAGAATAAATGGGAACAAGTTCAGAACTGCAGTAAGTTGGCTGTAGGTGTGTCCAAGTGCTTTGAGTGCTACACTGCTGCTGTGCTGTGCTGGAAGAGGGAACATGGGAACTCCAGAGTGGGTCTGACCCCATGGGACAGAGAGGAAAGGGAAAGGGTAGTCAAAAGGTCTTGCTGTGATTCCAAGAATGAGGGTGTCTTCACAAGTACTATCACTGTTCACACAGCTAAATCACATGGACATGATTTCTTTCCCAAATGTGTATTAATTGAAATGGTTCAGTCTGCAATATATACTAAATGTGCAAGAAATATCAGGAATTTCTATCGCTGTGTACTGGCCTGCTGTGCACAGCAAGTAAATCTTCCACTAGATTTGACTTCCAGCAGGCGTCTGTGAAAGGACATGTCACTGTAACTGTGCATTTATTTTTGCCTAGCAGATTTGTGCCTTCCTGGAATAGACCTGCTAGTCAGCAGCAGCATCTGGTACCATCAGAAAGTTCTAAAAAAAATATAGTATTAGATCAATCTGTTCATCCTAGAAGAATATTACTTCCTCTTGCTCTATTTATGGGGCAGTTGTTCTTTTACCACGTACAGCTTTCATAGTGATACAGATAAAGAAGCAAAACAAGTTGTTATTTTTTTTCATTTAAGAATCTAAGCTACTAAATCATTTAAGCATGTGCCTAAACTCAGTGGGTTTTAATAAGATTTAGCCACATGCTGAAGGTAAGTAGGTACTTAATGCCTTATAAAAAATGGATATCTAAGGAAAGCACTTAAATGATATAAAAGTACCTTTTTTCTGCATCTAAGAGGCTTCAGTTCAATGCACGAGTGCAGTATTGAACTTCTAAGATTAATCTAGTTAGTTCTTTTGCACACTGCAGAAAGACAGAGATGGACGGCTGTCATGGTTGTCTGTGTTTTTATAGATTTTATAATAGTAGTGATCCTTTAGTCTCCTGTCCTAGTCTAATGTCTCAGCCATCTGCTGGACTCTCCCAGTTCCACACTGAGCTGCTTTAAAAGGTGATTGTTTTCCTCAATGTATGATATCACAATTATTTGGGTACTCGAATTTCATGGCCAGTGGTCACCTTCATGAATAAAATTTCATGACAGTGGCCTAGCCTGCCTTTGCCAAGCCGTTAGCCTGGCCCCACTCTATAAAACTCTACCACACACAGCACAGTAGGTTAATGATTGTGTGAGTGAAACTACTGTTACCGTCCCCGCTGAAGGTTATCGGCTTTGACAGCGTTTGCTCATGTCCAGTGAACCATAAGTCATATTGTAAGAGTACTTATCACTTACTGCCAAGGCAATTCATGAGCAGTTTGTGAGGAAAAAAATGTGAGCAGGGATGAGGAGGACACATGAAATTTTGGAGGGGAAAAATAAAGTATTAGGCAATGCTAACTCATCAAAATGGGCCAAGAAATAGGCTGTAAAAGAGATGAAACAATAAGAGAGCCATCATCATGGAGATAACTACAGGACCATCCATGTCAGTCTGGTACGTACATTCACTTGCTCCCATACCAGCCCGATTTGAAAGCAATCTGTGACATTTGGGCTCCAGTAGAACACTTCTTGCCATGAGATCACTGCATAGTTTCACAAATATTATTGAAGTCTCACACAGTGCGTGTGAGGTAGATCAGTGAAGTTATCTCATTTTTTCAGATGAGTAAAATACAGCATAGAGAGGTGATTGATTTTTTTTTTTTTTCTTTTTCTTTTTTTTCCCTGAGACCACAGCAAGCCATCTCTAAAGCCAGAAATGAGATCCCAAGAGTCTTGGCTCCTTCATCCTGGTTTTATAACCTGCGCCGCACTACCTCTGATTGAACAGAGTCCTGGTAAGGAATTTTTGTGTGTTAAATATCATGTCTGATCATGCATCAGATGTGTCTATACTTGGTGCTAGTCTCTATGCATTGAAAGAGAAGGAGGAGATGCTACTTAATAGTATTATAGTTAATAATGTTTTGCCAGTCAGCTACAGAAATGTGGATTAACTAGAAATAATATACTTTGCATTAGATAAATATACATTAAGTAAAATATTTTTATTTGGGAATGTAGAGTACTGAATGGCTGTTTATTTGCAGAGGCTGATTGGCAACATCATGGTTCTAATCCAAAAGAAACCCCTAATAATTTTCCTTTTGAAAAGCAGAGGGGTAAGTACTAAGATTTTCTGGCTAAAAATATAAAATCAGTCATTCTGTGGAAAGTATATTTACAATCAGTTATTAGAAATATAGAAAGAACTGAAAAAAAAATACAGGGTGATAAAGATTGACTCAACTGATAGCTTAATATTAAATATTAACAGTGTTCATCAGAACGAGGGAAATTACAAAGGTCTTTCCAAACTGTGAATTGTCCAAAATGACTGACTGAATCACAAAGTTAAACACCCTCAGGCAAAGCAAGCTATATACCAGCGAAGGTCATTACCGTTTCCTCAGAGGGGTTAGCTCTTTCACTTTGCAATTGAGCTGGGTTTTTAAAAATAGTTTGAATATGCAGACTTAAAGGTCTTGCTCTTTGTTAAAAAGAGAGGCTTTGAAACCAATTCCCCCTAATAGCTGTTAATGAATACTAGCGGGTTATTAGGATGTTACTTGTCTAAGCTTTGCTATGTGATACTGTGTGTGAAGGCTACATCAGCCACACAATGGTTAAAGATCAGAGGTTTAATTAGCTATATTTTACTGGGCTTGCCTTTAGGGCTCAGAAGTAAAAGGACTGATACAAGAGCAAAGGAAAGATTTTTTTTGTCTTCCATGGGAGCAGTCTCAGGATCATGGGCAGAATGCTCTGCACTGCATCTGTGCCATTGCACCTATTGCCATTGAGCTGCTGTTTCAGGCTGTAGAGTTAATTTCCTTTGTTATATCTGTATGTCATTTGCACAGGATTTACTAAAAAACTAGAAGTGATACGAAACACTGAAAAACTAGTGATCGTTTTCTTCACATGTAGGTAAACTTCCATCCATATTCAGAAGTCTGCTGACAGTATTGCACAACATTGCATATTTTCTGCGATTGATTTGAGCAACAGGAACAGCAAAAGTCCAAAGGCAGCTCAAGTACCCTGTTCACAAGGTGATGGTGCACTGTTAACTGAATCAAAGCTAAGACTAAGCGTTACTTGAAACTTATTACCATTCAAGTGAGACCAGTTAAAAAGCTAGTACCGATTTAGGACTAGTGACCTTGACCTGTGAGTGTTGGATTATTGGCTCCAGCTGAATATGGATCTGGCTGAGCTGAGGGGTAGGCACGAACTCACAATAAAGAAATTATAAGTAACAAGCCACTGCATGAGAGGCTCCGTCTGCCCTGCTTTCAGCCCTCGTTCCCCACAAAATTGATGGTAAATGCACAACATCTTATCGTCCATGGGTGGTTAGAGAATTCCAGATTGAAAGGGGCTGGGGTTACTCTTGCCTAGCAGATGAAATGTAACTGTGTTTCAGTGCTTTTGTGTATAGCAGTGGAGAACATAATTTATCTGGGATGTCAGGAATGACATTGTTTTTAATTAACCCTAAATAATGTTATGAGGCTTTGCTCAACTACAGTACATGTATAGATACAGAATTGGAAAGTGTTGGAAATTCCTGTAAACCTTGCTAGGAGAAAACTGTTAAGAGCTTGTAGCAGGTATTTATTTTATGTTTTAAAAATTCAATAGCCTCCAGTTAATCTGCCCTCTGGTAATCCACAGAATAGTGATTGAGCCAGACACTTAGCTGGTGTAATGTAGTGAAGCTCTTCTGAAAGCAACAGTTAGACTGCTACTCTAAGATATAAGAGGCTTAGGCTCAATTCCCTAATTTACCCAGATCTCTTGTGTAACCTTGGGCAAATTCCGTATTTCTAGATGAAAAAAAAAGGGTTTACAGACATCGAACAAAGTTCAAATCCTGACAATGCTCAGACTTCCTACATGATGTGTAAGGACAGCAAGGCTCATTACATGGATTGCAAAATAAAAACCACAGTGGCTGGACACTAAGGAGGCTCCTCAGCATCCTCACATAATTTCTATATGCTTTTAGGAAGCTGATGCTATGATATTTCCAATGAGAATCCTCTGGTACTGCTTACATCACCAGCAGAGCACCCAGTTTCTTGTTGCTCTTGTTGCTGAAGACAGGCACAAAGTAGGAGCCAAGCTCTTTGGTTCTGTCATGACAAAAGCCTTTGCAGGCAGACATGGAAGCAAGTTTTTCTAGCCTCCGGTCAAAACACAGCTGAGAGCGTGTTTCAAGCATCACATCTCTGGAATTGGGCATCAAAAGAAGGACTTCAGAGAAATTAATGACTGTAACATTTAATCTTTCTTCTTTCACAACCTCAATGTGGAATTGGAAGGTAGATGCATTAAGGAGTATAAAGCATTCAGTTACTGTAGCAATGGGGACCATGTAAGTAGCTAAAATTAATAGATGCTGTCATTTACAATAGCTGAGATTTTGAGCGCCAGAGTGCATTACAAGTAAGTATGGGGGGAAGGTTTGAGCTCTTCAGAGTTAATAGCCTGATCTCTGATCCATACAGGTAGAGCTGTCTGGGGGCTGTTGTATAGAGATGAGCCAGCCTGTAAAGGTCTATGCCAGGGCACGATTGCAGAGTGGGCACCTTCACAGCGGCGAAGCAAACGCGGGATGTAAGAAAAGGGCCAAGTGAGCAGTGATGTCAGCACCCTTTCTGTAGCTTTGTGTTTCAGTTCATGATGGAAGAAATCTGTATCGTGGACACAGTTCCAGGAATACAAGGATGGAAACTGTTTAGGGAACAATTCTATCATAAGAAAGGGGAGAAGTGGGCCTGGCAACAATTTTAGAGGCCAAAAGAAAATGAGAAACAAGCAGGAGAAAATATTAAGTCAAATGAGAAATGTATGGCAGGTCTTCTGTGAAATTAGAGAAATGTTTTTGGAGTGAATTCTGCAAAATTACCACAAGCCAAGTATCTAAGGAAGATGGGTGTGTGAGCATGCATGTAGTACGTCAGGAAACAAGTTTTGTGCTTCCCACCTGCAGGAGACTGCTTTGTCAAGCAAATGACATCTCACCATGAGCTGAGAAGTCATTTGCTCTCTGTTACTCTTGACGTTGATAGCATTTCCTCCAGCTTCAACTTCTCCCCCTCTTCCCATTTGACCAAGGACAGCTATTGATATCCACTTTGACTGTTCAGCAACATTTTCTGACACAAAATTTCACTCTGAGAGAGGTGGGGCGATTTGAGGTTGAGTTACTTACTGCTGGATCTCAAAAGCTGCTTTAAGTAGGACTGCCAAAAGACAGTGATTTGTCAGGTGCGTCAGCGGGAGCCCAGCATTGTCCTTGGTGATGAGAACAACTTGCATCTAACTATTGATACCTCCTAGTATTGGGCTTTGCATAGAACAAAGAGCTATATGTACAATTTAGTGGTCTTCTGTTTACAAGATCAGAAGTAGGGAGTGCACATAAGTGAATGTTATTGCAAGGAAAAATCAGTGTCCTAAATTAGTAGAAAAGATGGAAGAACTCTTGCTTATTTTCAGAAGTAATTACATTAATAAGCAGCAACAGACTCAGTGTAATGGTCTAGTATGGGAAGACCTCTGACATATTGATCCTGGTAGAAAAACTAATTCTTGGAGGCTCTTCCTCACAGCTGTCTTCACAACAAACAGCTCAAATAATTTTTATACTCTTCTACTGCATTAAATATTGTAGTAAAAAGTTCCTGCATTGCTGACATGGGTGCATCATTACCCAGTGAAAGCTGTGGTGAAACTTGAGTTTTCAGACAAAGTGAAATTTCCAGCTTGCCCACAGAACACGTGCTGTCTGTTAGGGCGAGCAGGCCCAGTGCATCCAAAACTGTTCTCTGGTTTGGGAAATACCAGTGGGATTCCTGCAGTGCGTGAACTGTGCCTTTTAGACATAATGAGAATTGTTTCACACAGCATTAAATTACTGGTAGCTGCATGGTCTTGCAAATGCCAGTGCTCCAGCTCCCTGGGTAAAATGTACCACAGAGAAATGTTTGCCAAATACATCAGTATTGGAGAAGCTGCTAAAGCAGTAAGTATATTTTGAGGTTTACAGCTGTTCTGAGCAGAGGTTCAGAGATTTTTACCTTAGGTTTCAGAGGACCAACGAGCAGTAATTTTACCCTGCTCCATCCTGATACAGGGGATGTACCTTCTGCAATTTCTCTTCTTACTGAACTTAATTACAGTGAGCTCGGGCTCCATGACAGGTCGCTGTACAGCCTGTTTGGTTTATATTCCTGCTGCAAACCCCAGTGAACTGCAATGCAAACTAAGAGTCTGAACTCCATGAGAAATGCGTGTGATTCCCCTGCTCCACAGTGCTTGGGCTTAGCATGAGGCAGAGGTGACAATGCCATAAATCTCCATTTAGGCCACGTGCATTAATCCATGAGCACCAACTGTGCAGAAAGCCCACGGGTCAGAGCCCTGCGCACTGGACAGCATCACGAACCACGTGGAACTGTGGTGGAAGTAAAAGAAATCCAAACACTTTCTTCCTTAGGAGGGAGCTCAGCCCAAACATGAGCAGACTTTGTTTCTGTGTTCAGATTAAGAAACAGGATGAATATTTGCCTCCCTTAGCAACAAGGAAAGATATTCTTCAGCTTTCATTGAGTTACAGCATTAAAATCGGTATTTATTTGTTTCTTCTATTAAGTGGCAGATATATAGCTTTCCACTTAACAAGTTGGCAAAATTTTCCTCCACCCTGACAATAGGGAAATCACTGCCTTTAAAGTGGGCCTTTTGGTAGGTCCCCATAGCTCTGTCTCTACTATCGCAGAGAGGTTTTGGTTTTTTTAACTTCCTGTTAGCTCTGAGGCAGTTAATGCATGGGAAAATCTACAGCTGGGGAGAAATGTTTCCAACAAAACACCTCTGATAAACAAATCCTGATTTGTCAAAATCAAAACTGTTCTGGGAATCTGTTTTCATTCGACTCTGGTTCTGAAATTGTCAGCATACCTGGTTCTGCATTCTCAAAATGAAAGCTTATGGGTTTTAGCTTTGAACAATTTTCTGATTGACTTGGACTAGAAGTATAGTTTGGACTCTCCTCTTGTTAAAAAAAAAAACCCAAAACACTAGGGAAATCCTAAAATGAGCAAAACACTACGTCATTTTTATGTGACACAAAATGGCTTAATTGTAAGAGGATTGTACCATAAGTTGCATATGTGTGTTTAGTTTAAAAAAACTCAACAAACAAAACATCCAAACTTCATAATACTTTCTTCCCTAGCAGAAAAAAAGAAAACAAAACCAAAACAGGGACAGGGAACCTGTATCCAAATGACCCTCTTTAATAACCAGCTGTTTCCTCAGTTCGATGAAGGGACTGTGTATTACCGTCGTGATAGATGAGACTTGCTGAGACCTCAGATAAAGACTCCTGTGGAAGAGCATAATTGATGGGGAGCTCAAAATCACAGCACTGGCTTCTTCTTGCTTTCCTTAAAATCCTGACCTTGGTAGCTTTTCAGGCCATGCCTGTGTTTCCTGTAATGCATTTATTTGATGTAAGCTAACATTTTTCTAAGCTGCTCTGTCAAGTGATTAAAGTTATTAGTAAAATTATGACAACATTTGTTGTCCATTCTAAGAGATGAAAATTAGTTTTTTACTTCGTGTTATACGCATGCTCAGTTTGAGTAACAATAATGATAGAAATATCCAACTAGTTCCTTCATTTACCTTGGTATTACACATTTTTTTTAAAACTAACAACCTAAGAAAATAGCGGATTTTCTTTTTAGAGGAAAGAGGAGTAAAACGAATCCAGCAATAGCTATAAGCCAAATTAAAAACACAGATTTATAAGCTTCTTTAGCTTTAAAAACTAGACAGAGCAAAATCTGTTGCTATTGTTATTTTTATCCTGAAAAGTCACCCTGCGCTACAATATACTAAGTGGTACTATGTACACTGCTCACTGTAAAACAGCTAAATATCCATGAGTCATTTGTTTAATCATTTCTGAGTTTTTATGCCAAGCACCTGCCTTTTAATTTGCTACGACCAACCTGAAACATCTGTCAATTTTTTCCCCATGAATTAATAACTCTGTAATTAAAATCCAGCAGAGAGCTCAGCTGAGACTCCTGGTTAATTAGGACAGGAGATAGCCATGTGAGCGCCGTGGCATTACATTAGTTGGGGGAGGCTTGGAATTGAACCAGGGCTCTGTGGGTGACACGGAGCTACCAGTCCATGATTTAACAAGGAAGCTCTTAGATATTTGTTCCAGTAGCCAGTACATCTATTTGTGGGCAGTCAAATATTGCTGAAATTATTTAATCAGGATGCAGTGCCTGAAAACTATTTTCTTTAAATGTGTATTTTTAAAGGATCTGGTTTTAGTTATTGCTATTCTCCAAGTACTAAGAAAATGAGAAGAAACAGTGCTGAACTAAGCTCTTGCCTAGAGCTGTTTTGCACTTCAAGTGGCAGTGGGAGTGTCAAGAAGAGAAAAATGGCTTTCTTGGTAAAGGCTATACCTGCTGCTGATGTGCAAAGGTTGAGGATTTTAGTTTCTTCCTGGATTGCTTTCTACTGCAGCAGTGTCTAAATAATCAAGGTTGTTGTTGGTACTCAAAAAATCACCTTGATTCAGGTTGATGCAGGTTGATTCCTGTGTCTTTTGAAAGGATTCATATACCACATACTTGATACATAAGGATTTGGGGATTGTTTTTTTGCTTTTTGTTTTGTTTTCAAACAGCAGACAAAGATATTTGTTGTTGAACCACATCTCAGCACACCTATAGATGAAAACATCTGAAGACCTCATCACTTGTCAAGCTTTTTTTAATTTTAAAAAGTGCACCAATTAATACCACAGAATTTTTTAAGCTTGTTCATTGAAGGCAAAGAAATTTGTATTGCAGCTAAGAATGAGATATGAAAGATTTTTGTCATAAACTTCAATAATTTGAAAACAAAAATAAATTAAACTTGTAGCACACAGTAATGTATACTACAGGTAATCTGAATGTCCTGCTGTGTACTACAGAGAAAAAAAACTATCATGGTAACTCAAGAGGGCATTCCTGTTTTAAGTAGACAATTGTATTTTACCACTGTCCAAATTCACAAAGCATCTCCTACGAAATAAACTTCTTTAAATAGCCTCTAATGTAAAGAGATGTCTGGCCAAATAATATATTCTTCATTCTCAGCTTAAATGTGAACCAGTTATTTGCTATTTTCCTGTGCAGAGAAGATGATAGAAAAGTTCCCAACTTCTCATATGCTAGCTTGCTGTAAGTCTGAATTACTGAATTCGTACCTTGTTTTCCCTTTTGAGCTTGCTCTTTACAGAGCAGTATATAGAAGTTTCATCCCAATCATGGGAAAAATATCTACAATTTAAGATTCAGGGAGTTCTTTATTTCTTCTTAAGTTTTCCTGTGAGACTCAAGCAGAGGATTCTACCTTCCAGTGGATAAGGTATATTTAATAATTAACCTCATATGAGAAAGTTGAGTCAAGACTTGCAATATTCTTCAGTATAGTAATGATTTCATCGTTTCTTTATAAATCTAGAATCTATTGCCAGAAAAAACGCCTCTGGAAAGAAGCTGGGGGAACTGGATGATGCATCTTTGTCTCTGAGAAGGTGAACTTGAGAAAGGCTTTGGTAAGTTTCCTAAATATACAACAGAATATTTATCTTCAGCCTTGATCCAGGGAAAAAGGAGTACTGTTTCCTGAAAGGGAGGAGAGGCAGGAAAGCTTTTGGATTAACACCCCATTGTGCAGGTAGAATCCCAGAGGGAGGTAATGTGTAATATCGTTAAAAATTTTTTAGAAAGTGAGTAGATGTAAAATACTTATTTCTGAAAGATTTGACACTCGGCCTTATGTAAAAAAAAAAAAAAAAGGTATAGATGGTTTTAATTTCAAATTAGCTGTGACTCCCATAGTGTGTTATTAAAAAAAAAATGTTTTTCACTTGGAATTCTCAGTGTTTTAGAAGAGAGAGAAATACAGATTTGTCCAATTTCACGTGCAAGTCCCAGGGCAGTGACAGTGTGCTGAGGCTGTGGGGTCCAGGAACTGCAGCACAGAACCCAGAGTGAGAAAACCTGGCATCCACTTGTCAGTCCTGAAAAATACCACATCCCTTACCTGCTTCTACCTTTTGAGAGCTTTGCTTTGCATATATAGAGATATTTTTTTAAAAATCTTAAATTACAGGAAAGCATTATAACATTAAATAGCTGCATCTGAAGCACACTGTGTGTATGAGGAAACTCAATATGGCTGATAGGGTATTGCCTTCTCGATAAACCACCCTTCACTTCCAGTGCCCACCGCATGAAAAATGAGGAGATTCGTTGAACAAGATTGCCCTCTGCGGGCTGCACACACCTCCTTCCCTCACTGTGATATTCGTTCCCCTTTTCTACACAGGCAAATTAAATATGCTGTGAACATAATGGAGTTTGGATTAAAAAAAAAAAACCCACACAAAAAAACCCCAGTAATTACTTGAATAGATATTTGGGGACAGCTCTTTATTCTTACTGAGAATGGGTCCCAAACATTAATTTAATTTGCCTAAATAGCTCCTGCTTAGGTTTGCTGTTATCTGAAGGCAATGAGCTAATGGAGATGATGCAGAAGGGATTTGATTTAGCCCTCTAGCTGTTTGTTCAAGTTGAGCTACCAGCACAGACCATAACCAGCATCTGGTCTAATGAGCTACAGTGAGAGTCCCGCTGATTGTATCTTTGTTGTACCGGATAACAAGGAAGAATCACGCTAAAACAGACTTCTGGTGAAGGCTGTGAGAGTAAATACAGCTCTTGGGAGATGGAGGAGCGAATACCTTGCAACTCCTTACCTAATCTCTGCTGAATAATGATCTCTTAAGAATCTCATTTTTAAACTAAACCAAAAATCATCACCATGGTTTATAATTTTCATATAACAGCAGGTACAAGTCAATATCATAAAACAGCGTATGAATATGACAGGTGTTTAAGCATTTCACTCAATATATTGTTGTGTGATTCCTTGACAATAGGACTGAAGACTAAATAGGGTAAAAGTGTGATTTTTAAAAAACTGAATGAATGATATGTAACTCTGAACTTTAAAACCAGCAAAACTATGTTGAAATATCCCTGCATAGCTATAGCAATTAGGGATGTCATTTTGTATTCATAATTGACATAGCAACATCAACAAAACCTCTAGTACAAATACATTGACGAACCTGCTTATGTTGGTATAATACACGTTAGCTCAGGAGGCAGGGTAAACTTTGCCTTTAAACACTCTTATTTCAAAACAGTTTGCAGAGAGAAATTATTTAGCCTCTTCTTTCTTTTTATAACATACTATGTGCGCTTGCAAAAGATGGAAAATGTCCCTTAATAGTAATAATTAAGTATAATACCGTATCTGAAATAATAGTAAAATTGCAAAGAGTGCAGTAAGACTCTCCTGGGTCTCTGATCACCGACTCATAAATAGCAAGGGCTCCAGGCCAGAGAAGACTAAAGAGTCAGGCAGCCTTGTTTCTAGCAGAACCTGAAGCCCACTAGGAGTTCATAGATCTAGAATAGTAGCTGATTTCAATAAGTAACTTTAATCAGTAAATTCCAATGGAAAAAGACTTAATCAGATTTTTTTCTCCTGAGTAGCTCAATAAAATATGTACTCTGAAACAAGACCTGACTCACATTGCAGGTTTAACAAGGGCTAATTTAAATAGGCCCTTAATTCAGTATTAAAAGAGCAAATGAAACTAAGACTTCTTTCAAAATTCTGCAACCAAGAATAAATAAACAAACTCCTGCTCTGACAGATAATGTCTGGCTTATAACCAAATGACAAGAACAACAGAAGTGTGGAAAATTGACGTGCATTCCTAGAAACAGTCTCAAATGGAACCTCAGCAAGCTGTATCATGAACTTCACCCATTTACTATAGGAAGAGTAAGAAAAAGACTCAGCTCCTACATTCATTGTACATGATCAACTTGCCTAAAAGTTTTTGTAATAACTTGCTTTTTGTAGAGATACTCGCAGGTACACAAAAAAATGTGTACCAGCCTTTCTGTTAAAGCCATCCAGCAGATGGGGCCACAGAGTTATTCAAAATGCAAAATAAAGTAAAATGAGTTTATCCTAGGAAGAGCGGTCATAATCAGTGCAAATACAGCTTTGTTAATTCATGAAATTCTAATGTCAGGCAAATAATTTATTTGGTTATATCATTTTCTGACTGTATGACTGATTAAGCTGTATTCAAATGCTTGTTAATATGATTCCCTATTTGTTTGATACTGAAATAATTACAACTCTCAGTCAACAAAAATTACAGCTGAGGTTTTAATTTATTCATGCCACATTCGTTCCCAAGTTTTGTATAGGTCTGAGATAGTCAGAGGTGTGATGAAGTGACACAATGGAAGTCATTGCTAGTAATTGTAGCAAGAAAGTCCCACACGTGGAAACGTGTATGTGGCAAGAGGAACTTGTTAGTGGTTCCTACCTAAGACAAAGGAAGACTTTATGAATGTAACTTACATGTGCTGGTGTTTTCCCCCTGCTTCTTTGAGATGTGTGCACCTGTTCCTGTTAAACCTGTGAAACAGAAAAGGACATATGTGTTTCAGAAAACAGGTCTGAATGTTGGAGGAGCAGTGGTCAGCCCCAGGGATTCCATAGCAGCAGATGCTGAAGGTTGAACGTGTCTACAGACAGTGTGCTGTACGGTGTAGCACAGGTTGTCACTCTCACTGTGTTTGCCAGTTGTCTTTTAAAATAAATTAATTGTGTGTAATCAATTTAACCAGGAAATTACATCAGGTATCAGTTTAAAAGTGTACATTGTATTTTGCTGCCTTTGAAAAGCCTGTTTTTCTGGGGTCTTGTACCTGAAGTGAAGGTCTTAACACTCCTGTCATAAAGCTGAACCTTTAAAGTCAGTTCTGCTATAAAAAGTTCTTCAAAATACATGAAATAACCCCAAAATTACCATTCATCTGCGCTACTGAACAGACCCATGGGGGTGAGCACTGCAAGACAGCTATTTTTCCCCTTTCCGCTAAAGTTAACACAGGTTTCCGAGTCACAGGTGCCAGCTGGCGGGTTGGAGCCCCTGGGTGCGTTTGACCCAGGCGTTCTGAGCTTTGCCTTATGAAATGCCAATTTTCTCGTGATTTCAGCTATTAAGTCCCATTTAGGAGATGGCTGAGGGACCTCTGAGTTGGCCGTAAATGGAGGGTCCTCTCAGAGTTAAACACTGGCCAAGGAGCAGGGAAAGGAGGACGTGGCTCCGCGATGGAGTCGGTGGGGTGCCCTGGGCCCGGCACCGGGGCGCGGGGCTGACCCGTCCGTGAGGCGCAGCCCCTGGGCCCGGCACCGGGGCGCGGGGCTGACCCGTCCGTGAGGCGCAGCCCCTGGGCCCGCGCCGGGGCAGGGCCGTTCCCCGCGCGCCTTAGCACTTAACCGCCGCTCCGCGGGCACCGCAGCCGTGTGGCCCCGCGGGGGCGGCGCTGCCGGCCCGGCCCGGCCCGCGATCGGCAGCGAGGAGCCGCGACGGCACCTGGAGGCGGCTCCGCCCCAGTCCCAGGAAGGGAGCGACCAGCGGGGCGGAGGGGAGCGGCCGGATCCGGCGGGACGGGACGGGGCTGCCGCCCCTCAGAGGCCGCGCGACTCTGCCGGCAGCGGCCATGGCTTTCGGGAAGGCTCCGAAAGACCCTTTCGGCACCGCCGTGGGCAGCCTGGTCGGTGAGTAAACGAGAGGGCATCGCGTCCCGCCCTGCCCCGCCGCCCGCCTGAGGGGAGCTGGGGGGCCGCCGTTTCCCGCCTCGCCGTCCGGGCCGTGAGGGGCGAGGCGGGACGGCGCCTCCCCGCTCTTCCCGCCCGGGCCGGCGGGGCTCGGCGGCCCGCGGGGGGTCCCCGGCCGTTGCTGTACGGCGGCTCCCCTTGGCCTTTCAGACCGGGCGACGTGCGGAGCGCTGCAGACGGAGGAGTGGGGACAGTTCATGCACATCTGCGACGTGATCAACGCGACGGAGGAGGGGTGAGCGCCGCGGGGGGCTGCGGGACCGGGGCTGGAGGTCACCTGTGGGACGTGGGGACAGACGGGTTTTCGTCTCCGGGCCAGCAGGCGATACAACGCACGTGTGGAGTTGCCCAAAACGGAATAGCAGCAGCAGGAGCAGGTGTCTTTGTTCTGGGGGAAGAGTTTTACCCATCCCAGTGGGTTTTGCTCACACAAGTCACGGGACTTGTAGGGATTAGATTTGTAGGCTCTTCCCCGTAGACAAGCGCTAAAGAAGGGTGATCACACGTTCTTACCTGAGCCTGGTGTATTTTGTATAACCTGCACTGCCCGTCAGGCTAAAGGGATGCCTTTGTGCTCTGCAAAACCCATTTGGTTGCCTACAACACAGCTTAAATCTCTGTGCTTTTAACTTAACCAGAGTTCCCCGCTGTGCAGTGTCTTGGTCAGACTACACCGCAGCAGGAGCGAAGCGGTGGTCGGGTGTCTGTTCAGTGGGATCTGCTCTATCCCGGGACAGAGGTGGCCTCTTGACTGAGCGGCCACGTTCTGGTTTGCTCAGCCACTTGCTGCTTTGTACTTCCTTGGTCCCACCTATAAAAAGGGGAGAAGAACAAATTTGCTCTCATGTAAGATCTGTTTCAGCATTGCATTGTCACTGCTAGCAGTGGCATGTTTTAACACCGACTGGAGAGCTTTCTCCAGGAGAATTTGGTATGCCTTAGTTTCTGCACAAGTATCTTTTTGTCTTTTTGTTATCGGCTTTTCCTTCCCTTCTTTTTTTCTTTTTTTGGATCCCACACTCTCACCTGTGCCTCTTAAAGCTTGTAAGATCAGTAATAACTCCCTTCTGGTCTTTGCCATAAGCAACAGCACGCTTTGACCTTCAGTGTTAGTTTTTATGTGGAGCTTCTATGCAACAGAGCTTTTTTTAATAAACTGTTTCCTCTTGTGCACAGCTTGTGCTAACAGAGGAACTCCTTATAACTTCCTCCTAAGCAACTACTACTAGTCACAGTATGTAACAGGATACTAGGAACTGCTGTATCTCATTAGGCAAATGGTTATTTTAATGCAATATCCAGCTCCTGACCAGAACATTTCCAGATGCTTCAATGAGAGAAGCAAAAAGTAGTAGTGGAATAGTAGTAGCACAGCTTTCTGCAAGGGAGAGTTTTCTTCTCCACTCTCATGCTCCCATCTGTCACTTGGTATGACATAAGATTAAGAAAGATAGAGAAATCTCTTCTTTTTTCCTGATGAAGTATGCCAACATTTCAAACTGAAAAATGCAGTAATGGTAAATACGCATTTAATTTCATTGCCTTTGAAATATTTTCGACAAAGATCTCTTTTTTCGTACTGAAATGCTGCATTTATGCCTATTGCTTCATCTTAGATTCTAGAGAGATCCTAACAAGACTTTAGGACATCTTGTTTTTGTTGATCATGAGCATTGAGCTGGCCCTAATAATCGTACACATACAATTGTAATTGTATGATAGCCCATATTAATCAGGCAAAACTGTTTTCCACGTGTGATAAGCTTGATACCATCTTCCACCCTTTTCCTCCTACACAGATAGTTAAAAGATATGGGGGGTATATATAGACATCAAAATGACTGTGCTAGAAATGCCACTATCTCTGGGGTGGAATGGATTGTCCGTCCGTACATGGTAATTATTCAGATGAGTTAAAAGCATCCTGCAATTATAAGATTGGAAGTTATCCAAGACACCCCAACTCCTCACAGCACTCCCAGGAGAGTATCTTTTAATTGCATCATACAAGAAAAGTAGGTACCAGTCAACTCTTGATACAGCTGGCAATTGTTATTCCCTTTCATAGCAATAAAAGCTAGATAAGTAAATCTATTGTACAACAGTGAAATAATATAATTTTGGAGGAGACTTTGCAGAGGAGAATAACTTTGTTTCTCTGCACAAGTCTCTGGAGTAATGCACAGTCTGCAGCAGCAAACCTGATTGACTGCTCCAGCTCAATGCTGAAGTGATTTTGTTGAAATCAATGGGGCGATTGCTCTAGTTCTATGTGGGTGTAAATACGGGGATGAATATGGCCCCATATCTCAGGCCAGTATTTTTGGCTCTTTGATGAAGTTACAAACTAGAAAAACAGTCTAACTTCTCTGGTAACTTTTTCTACCCAATTTCTTGTCACAGGCCTAAAGATGCAGTTAAAGCGCTAAAGAAAAAGCTTTCAAAAAACTGTAACCATAAGGAGATCAGGCTTGCCCTGTCTGTAAGTACAGCTATATTTATATTAATGAGACACTAAGAAGGAAAACATGTTAAACGATAAGGTGGCATGCAAATTATCACTGACACAACTCTCCAGGATGTTTTCTTTGTTGTTTGTGTGTGCAACGCTACTACAGTGCAGATCAGATGGTCTACTGGTGTTGTCTAGAGTCCTGGGTGATGCAAATTCTTAAATTTATTGCTGCAGTTTTGGTTTTTTTTAAACTTGTACTACATAAAAGTATTATAGTTCTTATTTATTCCAGTGACTGTCCCTCTGTGAGTGCCCCACCTGTTTGTAAAAGATATGGAGGTTGGGATATTACATAAAAGCAACATTTGACCATTCTATTACTCACCTTGTGGTACTGATCTTAGTTAAACTAAGCATGGTATGCAGCATGGTGGAATGTGTGATACCTGTTTCGTAAAGGTAAGTGTTATCGTGTATAAATGAGAAACTTGAATGAAAGGATAACTGGTGAGTTAAGCAAGGCAGCAAGACACAGGGTAAGCCACATAAGATTCAGATGTTACGACTAAAGGATGGAGTGGCTGGAAATATCCCCATTTGAGATAATCTGACAGTGTTTCTGGACAACTCTGGAGTTTGGGAAAGCATTGAGATTTCAGTCAATTTAAGGTTTACTGGAGTATGTTAACATACTTCTCTGTTTTCCACTACACTGATAACAAGCAGTGGCAAGAAGTTCTAACACTGTCATAAGTCCAAAGTTCCCGACTTGAATTACTCTTGACTAACAATAGTGTAACTGTAAGAAGAATCATACCATTCATATTTTAAGTTGTGAGGGATTTGTGTCTTTCATTACTTGTCTAGAAGTATTTTCTTCACCATTTCCTTTTTTGAGGTTGTAGAGGCCTGTCTGCATTACACTGAGTACTATTACTCATGGGTTTGGTATTTGTTGTGCAAAATCATTATCTATATCAATATGCGCTGAGAAATTATTAAGGAAGATGGGTGATTGATAGTGTCAAATTGTAGGTCACTTAGCAATTGCCCAAGTGTCTCCTGACGAGTTAGAGGTGCAGATAGATGTGTTAAACATACCGATGTGTACCTTCAGCTCATTCCATTTCCGCACTTCTTTCCTGGCTTCCTCCTCCACTGTCTCATGACTCACCTTTTTGTGTGTTGTATGTGTTTGCATAACAGAAACACTCGGTTTCCACTGTAATTGCAATCCCTGTATCAGATCTGCTTTCTTTCTCCTGCAGTCTTTGTGCACCCAGGTCCTCCTCTGAGTATCTGACACAGTCAACTGGAGTTGTGATAACCCAGTGCTTAGATTTAGGAGCCTTTCTTTGGATATTTACTCTGCAGATATACCCAAGGTGACATTACAGCTTAGCTCTTAAGAACATGAAAGTGGGAGAAGGATCTTGTTTCAGGTGTATTCGTGGAATGACTTCAGCATACTGACCTGGAAGCTCGTTGTATTTGCTCATAGATGGAGCTTGTACCAGGTTTCAGTTATGCTTGTAGTTCAACACTTTCTTACAGTTTCTTTACAGTGACAGGCCTCTTTTCTCCATGTCTGTTCTCACCCACCCACACATATGCATGTAACCCTGCCTGCCAGGCAGTCACATCCTTTTGGCCCAGCTTCTGTTTTCTGACTGCAGGTTTCTTCTCCCCGAATTCCTTAATACTTTGTTTTAGTAAGTAAGTTTAGTAAGTTTTAGTAAGTGCCAGCCTTTCCTCTAACTCCTTCTCTTCCAGCTTCTGTTCTTATGTAAAATCTTCCATCCTTGCCTCTCCTCTGCCCCTGGCTCCTTTCCTTTTTCTGTTTTTCTACCAGTACTACCATCAGTTTAGTGTGTGTGGAACCTCTCCTTTGATGACCTCACTGCTGACCATATATGACTTTTAACTCCTTTTTTCCCAAGTCAGCCTTTCTATGTACTATATCTTCTGGTTTGGGTTCTTGATTGCCTTGGTGAAATTGTTCTTGTTTCCTATTTTGGAATGCTTGTATTGGAACAGCAAATCATTGCAAATAGAAAAACAGAAATAATTTTCCTTTCCTAAAACACAACACACATACCCCCCGCCATGCAACTCTTATCTCAAATTATATTTTTTTTCTCCCAAATCTCTTCAAAAGTAAGGACTTGTTTTTGATGAACTCTAAGTTTACTTACTGTGTTTCCTACAGTAACTGTGGTCCTCCAGCTTTTGAGACTCTACATCAAATTGTCTCTCCTACCTACATTAGAAACAACTAAAGAGGCAACAGGTCTACAAATCATTCTTTTGAAATGTGCTTTTATCCACTTCTATTTACTCAACCTTGAAATTCTAGAATTTAATCTTTCTAATGAAACTGCTTAAGGAGTTTATTCCCAGAGAATGCACAAAGAGTGAAATGTGAAAGTCTTTATCTGAAGTAGCACAACTGCATGTTGGCCCTGATTCTGTCATCGAGACTCGTTAAATCTCAACAGTGTCTTCCTTCTGGCTCATAGATGTGTATTTATTTACTCGGAGGAAGAAGGGTGAGTGCCAGCTGTATAATGTGTTGGCTGTGGCTTGACTTGATGCACTCTGATCTAGTGACATTACCTGGTGCTTGTGAAGTCACGTGGATCAAGGTGGATGCATGTTCCACCATGAAGTTGTTTAATGCAGTCTTTGATGAAACCAAGAGATCAGCCTTGGCGGTGGTGATTTTGCAATCAGACTGAGGAGGATTAGAGCTTTTAGGCAGGAATCCAACAGTGTATATGTTAATTGACTTCTTATTACTAATAGACTTTGGACACTAAACTCAGTTTATGTAGTGAACACTGAGGCACCTGTTCAGTTGTCTCCGTAGATCTCCCTTTGTTTTCTAAAGCACTTACTGCAGTTCCCCCATTCTGGTGCCTGTAGGGTCTTGGGAACTGAACAGCACATGGGGAAGTAGTTCATTGAATGTATCGCTCTGTACCTGTGTCCGCATGCACACACTCTTACAGAACGATGGGCAGAAATTTAAGATGGAATTAATGTTTCATTTTTGCATTACATTGTAGGAAAATATTTTAAAGGAAGTCGTTGTCTAGGTTTAAGTTTTGGAGTTCGGGTTTTTTGCCTTAAGCTTTTTTCTCTTTGTAATATTGTGTAAGTTTTCAGATGTAAAAAAAAAATTTAGCATGGCAAATGTGACCTTCCTTTGTTAAGTTAACATTTCACAAAGCAGAGGATCTTAAAAACAAAAACATGAGGGAGCCCTCCAGCTCCTCAGTCAAAAAAAGTCCCAGTGAACTTTATTATACTTTATGATATATATGGGCAAAGAGGAAAAGGGAAGGAGCATTGAGTGGGAGCAGAAGAAAAATTCAAGACTTCTGAAAAAGTAGTGTTTTTGAAATCAGAATCTTGGTAAAGACTACATAGCCATCACGCTGGAATTGATGAATGGCAGCTGAAAAAGCTGCTCATACAAGTTGCTTTTAAATGCTGACGCTTGGAAATAGTGTCTTGCCTTTCAAAAACTCTACTGGGTGGACATCAGTATATGTTTAGTAGAGTGTAATCCTGGAGATAGATTAATGACTTGTTTCCTTTGAGTCAGAAAGACAGAGAGGCAAACTCTTTATCTGTGTTATCTGTGTTCACCTTAGGTCTGAGAAGTATCCGTCACAAACTGCATCCATTCATTACAGCTTGATGGACCATACCTGGCTGCTTTAGATGAGTAGATAGTCCTACTGAATTCTGAGTGAGGTTGCTACTGATAAGCTGACTTTCTTATCCCCATCAACTTCTCCCTTTTTTGTTTCTGCCTTAGAGTTTGTCTTTGCCCCTGTTCAGATGCCTGTTATCATTGTAGTTGTGTGTTGCCATTGTGTGAACCAGCTTTGCACAATTTGCCCCCCTTTTTGCTCAGTGCAGGTCTCTTCTCCACTGGATGTCTGGTATCAGCTAGCCTGGCACATAGCAGCTCTGTCAACTCCAACAGTCCTCAGGTCCTGCCTGTCATTTAGAGGAAGTTTAATGGTTTGGTTGAAGTTAATTTGCCCATTCTGTTATTAAAACAAGTTTCTATTGAAATTCCATTGTGCTGTGTGGAGCAGTGGTTGACTTGGCTGCCTTGGATGTGTTCATTCCGATGGAACTGCTTGGGAAGGTGAAGTCCTATTTGGAACGATAAATACCTTTCATTAGAGTTTTAATATGGTTATTATTAACATGGAAGTGGCTTGTTCACGAATGGCCTTGGTAAAAATAATTGAGTCAAATTCTTCTTTTTCTTACACCAGCTTGGTTTCACTCTAAGTGAGTGGGGTGTACTGGCATAATTGCGTGGAGGATCTAACCCATTAGTTCAGTACTTTCGTTCAGAGCATAAATACACAGTCCCTTAAATAGAGAATTAATAATAGGGAGTAGCATGCCGAATTTCCCATGCACTGGATTGAAAATTTTTTACAAAGACCATCTTTGAAGTGCTGCACAGGCAAATGATTTGGTTTATTAGCATATGTTTCATGTACTCTTTCAAATGAAAAATAATGATTCGAGCCAAGATTTTTTTTGTAATTATCTCTCAGTTAGTTTTTTTTTTTTGCACAGTAGTCTGCCAGTGTCTCTTTGTTCTACCCTGTTTTCATTTCAGCAATATATTTTCTTCTGGTTTTAAACCTCTTCTTCCATAAGTTCCTGATCACACTGGGGAAAAAAATCCTCAAGTCCTGAGGCTAGAAGATGAGTTACTAAAATTATTTCAACTTAGTCAAATATAGTTTGCTCTGAATAGGAAAGTATATTTAACCTACTTTTATCAAGATTACAATAGTGTCCTTTAAAATCTATGTATCCTTTTGAGGATATATCCTGTCTGTTGCATGATTCAGAGGAAGTTTTGTCTCAAAACCCATGATATTTTGCAGACTTTTGTTACTTTCTACTCTTTGCTTTCACCTTTCCACCTTCCCTCTTAAATTGAGAGGGAAAGTAAGGATACTGCAGAATAGCAAAAAGCACTAGTGTAGCTGTTTTTCTCTACATGGGGTATCATAGTCCTGTGGTTGATCCCCTGATTTGAGCCAGGCAAGATGAGTTATGGTCCTGATTCTGCACCTGATTTGACTGACCCCAGTTTCCTATCAGGACTTCTATTGGCCTGATTTCAGGTAACTGGGATGCAGTGACAGCTTTTGATATCTCTTCTCTACAATGGGGTTTGTAATCAGCCAGCTCCAGGTGTACAAGGGAGGAGTATTATGTCATTGTCACATTCTGCTATATTTGATAGGGCAGATGTGTTGCTTGCAGGGATCCTACTCTGAGCATTCCAAGCAGGGTTTTGGAAGTAGGCTTCTTTAGTGAAGGTGAGTCTGACAATTGGAACAATTCAGCTCTTCTGTTTCAAATCAATGTGACCTTTAAAACGTGTGGAGAAATTGTAGTCCAAGTTGTTAAATTTGTTCTTTTCCATTTTTTCATTAGTCTCTTGCTTACAGGGCAGATTACAAGGAAGGCATTTAGTAATCTTACTTTCCTCTTTTGTAGAGCTCTTCAGAATCTGCCAGACTAGGGTATCTCTGTGCTAAGCAGTGAACTAATTCTATTACTGAATCTGTACAAGTTGTTTTTTAAGCTATGGACAGCTTTCATGCTGTTAAGGTACAGTACGTTCAGTAACTGCTGTGACACGGAAGCAAGAGTGACCATGCTTCTCTCTTAAAAGTAGTATAACTCTGGGCAGTATATCTGATTTTGTATTGCATCTGTGTAACAGTGTGCTTACTGAGCCACTGTTCCCCTGTAGCAACCTCATCAGACATTCTGGTGAGGTCGCTGACAATAATCTGTTCATACCCTTTCGTGCTCTTCCCCATAACACCTTTGAACAAATTTAACTGAAGGAAACAAAAGCAGTCAACGTGGTTGGTTTTTTTCCCTAGTATCTGAGTAACAGAAGCTTTTTGTGTGTGCAGCTGCTTGACATGTGTATAGAGAACTGTGGCCCAAGATTCCAGTCTTTAGTTGTGAAGAAGGATTTCTGTAAAGACAAGCTGGTGAAACTGCTGAATCCAAGATACAATCTGCCGATTGACATGCAGGAGAGAATCTTGACCTATATCATGGTAAGTCCAGAGCAAACAGTAGGTGTTTGTGTCTCTGCTATATGGTAAACATTTAATGATGCAGCCCATTTCTGTAACATACTCATGGGAGTCTCTTCCTAAAGCAGGCTTTATTCTTGCTGCTCCTGCTTCATGCAGGAAAAGCACAGACCAGAAGACAAAGGGAGGGAGCTAGAAAACTGTCAGCCTCCACCTTTTATATTCCCCTCCCAGTCTGTGTATGTGCTCCCTCGCACTTAAGAAGCAGGATAAGAGGTAACTTTCGTGGTTCCCACTGCTTTGAATGGAGTTAGCTGGAGTGGATGGAGGGAATGACTTGCCTTTAGGACCACGTGTTTTAGAAGCACTGTCCATTTATGTGACTGATACTGTTCCTGTCATTTCAAAACTAGACGTGGGCCCGAGGTTTCCAAGGAATGGTGGATGTGAGCGAAGTAAAAGAAGTTTATCTGGAATTGCTGAAGAAAGGAGTGGAGTTTCCATTTTCTGACTCCAGCAGAGGGGGACCTAAGGTGAGGATACTTCATTAACCATTGTAAATCAGAAATGGGATGTGTTAATTGTATGAACTGTGTAGACAAAGAAGGTGTGTTTGTTTTGTTTTTTTTTTCTAATTTAAATGCTCCAGGGCAGAATATGACCAACCTACTTAAGCATGTGAGCAGGGGTTGGTTTCAGTTATAACAGCCAAGATAACAAAGAAACCTGGCCTATGTAATAGTTTATTTTATTTCAAACCACAGATTAGTGGGTATTTTCTCAAAAAGGAAGCATCTCTCTCTTGAAACTTTCAAAGTGTGTAAAGGGTTTGGGCATGCTGTTTACCACAAAAATTAATGACAGTTGAGTGCTCCAAACTTGTCAACTTCTGAAAGCCTCAAGTGAAAGGAGTAAGATTTTAATGAAAACAGATACTGTTGAGAATATGAGTATTATCTGTCTTTAACCCAAGAGAGGTGGGAAACTAGAAGAAAATATTATTGTCTATATATGTCTCCAGCTGTTTGCACAGCCTGCACACAATAAATGTTATTTAACCATATGTCATAGGTATCATTGTGTAGCATCTAGGACATTAAGTGTAAGTATGGCTTGAGCATTGGACGTCAGCTGAAAATAAGGCTGTTCTTTCCAGAATATTTTTTTTCTATTAGAAGAGTTTTCCTGAGAGTTTTGGGAAATGTGAAAGCCATCCACCACTGGGTGGAACCTTGCAATTACAGCATTAGGTGCCTGTAATCAGTGCAGGCAGAAATCATTCAGATTTATCCTGAGTTTGATTCGATGATTGAATGGTAGAGTGCACAAAATCTTATGTATTTAAAGGTTGTTTGAACAAGCTGCATGGAGAATGCTCTCAAGAAACAATATTTTTTTTTACACAGCAAGTGCAGTAGAGAGAATTCTGTCTACCATGTGTATCTGCCAGTTAAAATCAGTGGCAAACCTTCTGTTTATCTCAGCAACAGGAGATCTGAACACAATCTTGAAGTGTGTGTCTTGTGTATGTTGGGTTTTGGATTTGGCTTAATTTTTTTTAATAGCAGTCAGTTCAAATGCAAGTGAAGCTTTCTTCAGACAAAATGTTCTAGCTTTTCAATCCAGAAGGCTTTTGTAGTTCATCTTCTGCAGAGCCCAGACATAGCCCCATCACTACTTCCAAGTGTGATCGCATTCTGAACTGTCCTTCATTGTAAAATTGCAGTGGCAGTTTGGGAAGGACTCTTGGCTGTTGTTGGATGGCTCGAGAGCTCAAGGAGCTAGCCTGTTCTTAGTCATTCCCAATTTATCCTGTGATGGAATTTACTTGCAAACCCATTTAAAAGATATCTGAATTCCAAGCCTCATTTCATTACAAAATAGCCATTAGATTTATTCTTGTATATAGACCTTGCTCAACAAATTTCCTGGGAGCATTGATTATGAGAAAGCTGGTGCCCAGTTGTTTAGTCTGACAAAAATGTTTTGTAGCTCAAACTCTGCTCTTTTGTCTTTCCTCAGGCTTCATCTCAGCCTTCTACCAAGTCATCACCATCTTCTGCTACTCCTGCAAAGCGTTCTTTACTGCCTCTTCCCACAGGTCCAACGTTACTGCTGACTCCTGAGCAGGTGCAGTATTACAGCTTACGAGGGAGTTCGCTTGAAATGTACTCTTAGCATGTGATTTTGACAACCTGGGTGCATAGACCACTGGAAGGGAGCATCAGTTTAAGTGGCATAGTTCTATATTCCTGGGTTTATGTTCGTTCTCCTGAGGATTTTTTTCTATGTTGGTGTGCCAAAGCAAAGCAGGCAGAAGCAAGTTCAGTAAATGCTAATGCCAGGCTGTACCCCAGCCAGAAAGTGGAATCATTTACTCAAGCATGAGAATATCTAGTAATCTCTTATGATGTTGTTATGCAAATTGATAAAAGTTAACTTCAGAGATAAGTGAGAAAGCCAAGCTTACTTTTGCATAAGACTTGTGTGAAAAGATTATTCTGAAAAGCAGAAAGGAAAGGACAGTTCACTTCCATTCCTGCTTGGCCTGTAGGTAACTAAGCAAAGTAACAGTAACGTTAGTGAGAGGGGTTAACTGTAAGAAAAACAAGTAGTACTATCAGACTTGGATCTTAGTTTGATTGCACATATAAAAGCTGAGCTAATTCCATTCATTTTCATGGCATGTCACCAGAGTAAAATAATACTAATTAGGCCCATATTATACATAATAGGGAAGAAGCTACATATTAGGGGTAGGAAATGTTCTGCTCACTCTCTTCACCTACACAATATTCTTTTGTGTTGAACTCAACAGATTGGGAAACTGTACAGTGAACTGGATATGGCAAAAATGAATGTAAGAGTCATGTCATCAATATTAAAAGAAAATGTTCCTGGGTCTGAAAATCCGGATGATATGAATCTTTTACAGGTATGTGATAATTCATTGGTTTGATTTGGTCAGAGTTGATTTTAAAATATGTTAAATAATTTCTTTTAATGCCTGGATTCGTGCTGCCACATGGAATCCAAGAACAGGTTTCAATCTTTGGTTTTGCTCAGCTTTCTCTTGTCTTCTTCACCTTCCCCTGACATCTAGGTAGTCAGGAAAGGACAATACAGCTTGCAATGCAAATTTAAGCTCTAGGGAATTCCAAGGGCAAAGGAATTTCATAATGGAGCGTTCTCTGTTAAGCATGTTTTGTCAAACAGCCCCGAGAACATTCCAGTTGAATGCAGTTGCCTTGTGGGAAAAGAGATGATGACACAGTCTGTCTCTCATATCCGTCCTGGAGTTTTCAGCGCTCTCTTTATTATTACCAGTACCTTAAAGGCAGACTGAAGGCCAGTGAAGAATATGAAACATTGGGTTTATGTGCATGACCTCGAAGATTGGGAGCCTGCTGTGCTGTAGATGAGTCCACGTGCTCTTAAAGTGTAGCCTGAAGGAAATGTATTGCAATAGTCCAGTTTAGATTTGACAGTGAACGTGTAGTTCTTCTTTCTGTGATGTCATTTCTTCTACTTGCTTGTGCTGTATTTTCTATTTTAGAAATTAAACTTTAGTGTCTCAGTAGTTACCTGTCATTGGAAATTTTTGTGTTTCATACTGTCTGCAAGAATTTTAAAAGCTTCTGTCGCATCCTCGTATTTCTAAACTTACCTCTGAACTTCTATTATGAGGAAGCTTTTTTGGTCATTTGTCAGCATTGAATGTGTTGGAGAAGTGATGTAATTTTTGCAAGCCTTCAGTGTGCTTCTCTTGCCCAGTGGGGAATTCTTCCTTTGCAAGGGACCCTTATTGGATGCTCTTGGTTTGCCTTCAAGGTCGTCCTGTTCAGCTGTGTCCATTTATGGGTTGGTTTGCAACTGGAGGTGAGATATGGAGAGACAGCAGCAGTTTGCCACTGTCTCTCATCTTTAATGACAGGCAGCGCTGCTGGTCTGGGGGAAGCAGATAGGAGACAGGCACAATCTCTCAGTGGTTTTTGCTGCCCCAATACTGTCTCTTTTACAGAGATTTGTGGAGCTACAAGTCCAAGGAGGAAGGGCCTGTGAAGCAAGTGAGCAGAGTAGGCTTTAAACACAGGCAAATAGTTGTTGCAAGAGATTGCAGAGGGTTTGCTTTGCCTGCACTAGAGGATTGAGTACAGGTTGTTCCAGCTAAACCATAGCTGTTGTATGTACAATACTTCTGTAGTGGTACTGTCACCAGGGAGATGGCCAAGGTGCAAACTGGTCTTGATGATCTAACCAACCATTGAAAGATAGCCCAGGTCAGAGAATACACTGGTTTAATAGACTCAGGCAGCTCTGTCCAGTCCATGACAAGATAAGTGTTTCTGGTTGTGAAACAGGAAAAGTATGTCTTTAATTTCCTGTCTCCTACTATAGTCCTTCCACATGTAAGTGCACAGATAAGATTGCCCACAGTAAACCAGTGGATTCTTATTGACACTCCCAGTAATAAAATTGTTGGCAAAAGTTTGAGGACAGGGCGTGGAGTTCTCATTTGTGGGGGAGTGACTAAAAACTCATTCCTTCTATGTTAATTTCACTGTTGTTCTGTCTCTTCTTTCCTCTGTGTGCTGAGTGGTTTGAAGCATTGAGCATGGCTAGCCTGTTCCTTTAACAATGTTTAATGTTCCCTTTTGTTTGTAGCTCTACTTGGATTGCTTGGATTAGGTTTTTGTTGTCAAAGAACAGCCCTTTACTAAAAAGAGCTGCTTGGTTAGGCTTTGAGTGAGCTGGAGACATTAATTTCAATCCTTGTGATTAACTGAAGTCTCTCAGTAAAAGCTGTAGCAGGGTAAATTTATCAATGCAACATATTTTCAGTTCTGTAGCTTCGTTAGTGGCTAGGCTGCTCCCTTTCTCCACCCTGTTTGGGCAAGGCTTGAGATAGCAGATCTCACTTGAAATGTTGTGCTGAGCAGTAATAGAAGTTAAAAAATAGCTGAAGCTCAGTATCAGCCAAGAAGAGTAACAAACTTTTGTCCTGGAAAATGAATAGATACATTTGATGGACATGCGAGAATTTGGCTCCAGACCATCAGCTGGTAAGAATTAGCACAAATTTGTTGGATTCACTGGTGATTGTTATACCAGCTGGTTGCCCATCACTGTAAAACTCTTTCAAAACATAAAAGTGTATGTATCAGTGTGGATAGGAGCAAAGCCTAGCAAATCCATGCTTGAAATGTCTCCATTTCATTCTCTATTGAATGTTGATCTTTACAAAGGAGCTAGTCTGCCTGTATAATGGAGTCATAAGAAATACATATATATTTTTTTAAATGCGGATCAGGTAGTAAAGTGTGGAGTTGGAGAGGTTTTAAATTTAATTACAGACATTAAACTGAATATGGTTTTGTGTGTTTTATCCTGGGCTATGAAGATAGAATACTGGAAGGTACAGTACTCTGTAATCATTATGCAGATTTGGCAAATCGGTGCAAAATTTCTTTTTACATAAATAGAATCATTTATTTATGTGAAATACGTGCTTTTTGATGAAAAATCTGATCACTTTGAAAATAATACCAGAGCAATTTCTGAATAGTAATGTGCAAATAAAGTAATTTTTCACCTCCTATTTTTTTTTCCCCATAAGCAGAGCCTGCCAGCATTTGCAAATGCACTGTGGGGGGGAATAAAATGTTGGCTGAGTTGAAGTTCCTGTTGCTAAAGAATTTGTTTCTTTGAACATGCAAAATCTGAAGTGGAGAGGAATATAAATAAACTGTCTTCCATTTCAACTGGCAATAATGCAAAAAATCTGTTCAATGAACTCTCATAATTCTCCTGTAAGCTGATTCTGCTCGGTTTGTGTCACTTCCTCAAAAAGTGCATAGATTAAGTGCATCCAGACTTCCCCACTTAGAGGAATAGTTAGAGCTGGAGGCTCGTGTCACAGAGCACTTCTGCCCTTTAGACTATTATTGTTTTTCCTTCAAGCAGATGTTGAACAGGATCACATCCATTACATCCATGTGAAGTATCCTGCTGAGTTTAACCGGCTTCAAACAGGATCAAATCAGATTTGCTCTGCATCACCCAGAGGGGTCTTCGTTATTTTGCAATTTGTAATTTTGACTTTAGAGACAGATACACATTTAGAAATAAAGCTGGGTCAAGAGGTAGGGGCTGGGTAGGAGTGCTGGCTGTGATGATAGTAGTCGTCAACCTGCCTTGCAGAGATCAAAGACATGAAAATTACGCTGTTTGCAATGTTTGGTATGTGTGTGATTTGTGTAAATTAAGTAATGTTACCTGTGAGTCTGCAGCGCTCAGGTGTCTTATCGTTCTTCAGAACTGACAAACTGGGAGACCACACTTACGATTTATGTTTCTTTTTCTTCCCCTGCCTTGGGCAGAAACTGTATAAGACCTGTCGGATGATGCAGGAGAGGATCATGGAGTTGTTGGTGACAGTGGAGAATGAAGACGTGATGGTTGAGTTAATACAAGTAAATGAAGATCTGAATAATGTCCTCCTGGGACATGAAAGGTGGGTACAGGGCCTCTCTCTGCACGTTTGGTATCCTAACTGAGTAAGGGCACTTACTGGACACAGATGGTCCCTACCTCTAATGTTGATCCTTCACAAGGAGACAGATTTTATCCTTAAATGCAGAAAAGAAACATGATTGCAAAAAAAGGAAAAATGATGTATTTGCCTTCTGCTAATCGCTTCAGAAATGGTTTATAGAGGTAGTTAGAGGACCATTACAATTGGGTAAAACAAGTTAACAGCATAGGCAGGAAATCAGACAGAGGCACACAAACAAAAATCGTTTTGGAATTTGGCATTCCTTTTTGATAATGCACAGTGAATTTGCCATCAGTCTGCTACAAATCCTTCAGTAGTGGTGATGGTCCTTATTTATGTTAAGTGTATATGCCTCCACAAAAGAATACTTGTTCTCCTTTCTGAGCGATTTTGACAGCTTTACTGCAGAAATTGGCCATGGAATAGCATTCTGCCTCATTGCATGCATAAGAGAGTCGCTTGCTTTTCTCAACTGGATTGAAACGCGCTGTTCTACTTGTCTTACAGCACCAAATGGTTCTTTCTTTCACACATGAAAGCACCGCGGTGCTTGTGTTGACATTCCGTGGATGCGTCTATTATGTCATTGGCGGCATGACTAGATGCTAGCTAAACTGAAATCAATTTTAAACTCAAAATCCCAGTACTATCCCCCAAAATATCACAGTGAATATCTTACAAAGAGTATTCTGGTTTAATAGGAACTAGTCTTCTGTGTTAAGTAGTTTATATCTTCTCCATGGCTAAGAAATGTTATAAAAATCATTCTACATCAAGTGTGATGGTTCATCATGGTCATCTTTTCTTTTTAAACCTCTTCTGAATACTGCACTGAAAATATCACTAATTCTAAGTGTCACGGCACAAACTTTGGGTCTAATCTGGACAACATTTAGTTTTGATTGGTCCTTAGATCTTATGTCTACAGCAGTGTTGGCATAATTTACAGTAACTGCCTTGAAAGAATTTTGTGCTCACTTCTTGCTTTAGTAAATTTTTCATTTTAGTAAAGCAAAACTAGAAATCTGTTCAGCTTCTCTAAGTCCAGTGAAGTCAGATGTGGGCTTAGATTTTTGTTACAGCTGATGAATACTGGCAAGGCCAAGAACCTCTTAACTATCAAGAGTAGCTTGTGGGTATCATTCGACCCATTCCTTGTGAAAGACTCACCTGGTGATTTAAGGAGCAATTAATTGGCCATTGTGGAACTGGACAGGAAACTACTGTGTTTTATTACTGTAATGTTATGGTTTATATGTAATGAGGCTCCCTGGGTGCAGATGCATTGCGCTTTAGATTTTATAAGTGTTGAAATGTATTTGGTTAATGTTCATTGCAGAAGATTTGTTCTTGGGAACTCCCTCTGAACAATGAGATGTGTAAAGGGCAAACTGATTTTTAACTAGCTGCATCTGTTTCGGACTATGTGTATTGTTTGAAGACAAGTCATGCTGCAATTGCTGTTTCTGATTGTTAATGTAGAGCCTAAATTAAATCAGGAGCAATCACCGCCGTGCAATAAACCAGCCTCGTGTATGTAGCAATGCCTCCCTCTAGTGGCTCTAGCAACTTCTTGGTTCTTCCTGTATTTCAGATAAATATTTTTATGTTCTGCATTTGGAAAGTTGTTTTTTTTTTTCTTCTGTTCCTCCCTGCACATATGTTATCTTTGTGAATTTCACCAGTACGGTAGCCCAGAACAGCAAATGCAGTTGTACAGACACTCATGCCCATCCCATGCTAAGTGGGGGCTCTTCTGAAATGGATTGACCTTATGGATGCCAGATGTCACTTGACTGGGCCTGCTCTGGACTCCATGTAGCACTGTTACGACTCCTAGCACATAAAATTTATGCAGGTGGATTTTTTTGTTTTCTTTCTTTAAAAAATTATTTCGAATGCCTGAACTAATGAGAGTGTCGGGTACCAGAACTGGTGTGGTTTGTCCTGAGATGGCATGAGGGAATGTGGGGACTTCTGAGGATAGAAGGCTTCCTGGGACTCGGTTGAAAGACTGTCCTGATCAGGAGCCAGACTTGGCACAGTTCACAGTTACTCAGCTTGCATGAACAGAGGCAAATTTGGTTTTGCCTTGGTTTTGTGTTGGAAGAAACAGATGGCTGTAGCCAAAAGTGAGCCCAAGAACAAACTAACTGGTGTTCGTAGGTGATCAGAGGATGATGGTGGCCCTGCAGAGGAGTGAGTCAAATTGCTCGTGCGAACACGAGTCCCCCAGAGAAAAGCAGCTCTAGTACTTGTTTGGCACCTCTGGAATCCTTTGATAACCAAACTTCGATTATAGCTGGTTTCATTTTCTTATGAGTGACATCTCAGAAATGTAAGAATGAATACTTAACTCTGCAACTTCAACAGGTTCTCTCGAAACAGAGTTCGTTTTTTGGAGAATCAAAGAATACAACGTGAGCGCACAGAGGTGAGCAATTATAGATGAACTCATGAACTGCAGGACTGTAAACATTCCTTTTTCCGTCATTGTGAAAAATACACTTTTAACATATGCAGAATTTTATTCTCCAGTTGAGAGGTACAGGAGACAACAGACTGGCACTGCTCTTACTGATTTTTCTAAAATCTCGCTTGCAGAATTTCATGCAAATTGTAATTAATGCAAATTTTCATGCAAATTTGTTACTAAAGTAACAAATTATGTCAAATCTAAGATAGAAGCTTGGTCAGGAAAAATGAGAGAGAGAGAGAGATACCTATTCAAATACCTGTTTATTACCTCTACAGCTAAGCCCTATTATCTGCCATATACAAAATAGGGAACCATAGTGTTTCTTTTCACTTGTTCTCTCTTAAGCATTTATAGACTGAAATACAATTACAGTATTGGAATTCGCTATGACTGATGTTTTTTTCTGAGACAAAGATTTTTCTGAATTGTGAATAATGGCTTGTAGCAAATCTTTAATGACTATCCTTTATTGATTGATAATTATGGTTGTTAATTATATTGCCCAGACTAGTTTTGCACGTGTTTCAGCTTCTGCTAAGCCGTAATTGTGGAGTCATCTAGGACTCAATATGGAAATGTCTGCATTGTTACTGCTGAAATACAGCTGACAATTATTTAAAAAAACGTAGAAGATAATCTTGTTTTCCTTGAAAAGCCACTATTACTACATTCTGGTTATGTAGGTGGATGGTTTTGCTTGATGGATGCATTGTTGGATTAGTTAATAGTCCAAATAGTGCAGACTGTGCATTTTTGTGTTATTCTGGACTCTTCAAGTTTAAAATAAATCACTTTTTTTTTCTTTTTTTTTTTTTTTAATCTGGTGCAACCAGCCCATATGATTCAATCATGTGGTTGTATTAAAATCTTTGGTTGGCTGCATTTTTAATTCTAACACATTCACAGGAGAAACCAAGGGAACTCTTTTCTGTATCCTGGGAAACACCGTTGTGATTTTGAACTTTTCCTATCCAAAATAAGACTGAAAAAAATCAATCTCCTAAGTGTGTATCAAATCTCAATAATGCAAATAAGTAATATGAAAATATTGTAAAATAATCCATCAGAAGATTATATCAAACCTGTATCTAAAAAAATTCACGATTGCTTTTTGAACTGAGTCTGTTCTATTTCCTACTTTGGAATTTTTTTCTTTAATTTTCTGAAATAGCAACCTTGCTGAAACTGGTCTTTTCTGGAAAGCATTTTTTTGTTTCAGTACCTATCTTTGACACCAAAAAGATATATTCTGGTCTTCTCTCTAATTTCTAATATTATGCTTTTAAAAGTTTATATTTGTGAAAATAGCAATTTGTTTAAAACTATGTAAGTTCCTTAAAAAAAAAAAAGACACATCAAAAAATCCAAACCAACTTTATTCCCTTTCAAATGTTAAGTTGTACAGGAAACAGCCATCTGCTCCCTCAAGTGATCTACTTGGCCTCTCCATAGATTCTCCATCTCCCGTGTCAACAGACTCTGCAGTGTCTCCTTCAGGCCTTAGTAAGTGATGGAACACACATTTCCCTTGGGGTCTGGGTTCTTAAAGTAAACCAACAAGAGCTTTGTGGAGGAATCAAGAAATTTCTTGTAAGAAAGAAAACAAAGATACTCCTTAACTTTAGCAATGTTCCTTAAATCTCCTTAAAAGGAGAATTGACGTGTGTACGTAGCAAAAAAATTGTAAGCTGGTATAAGGTTGTTTGTATTTTCTTCAGAGTGGAAGCAATAACCTTTTTCCCCCATGACGTAAATTCGAACAGTAGAACATGCTGTTTTTCTGTTACAATGATGTCTGTAAAACAGTTTTGTAGGCTTGGAAGAAGGAAACACAGATAGGCCTTTCTGATGCCCTGTTGATGTCCTAAGTTTTTTTCAGGATGCACTTTGCGTTAGAAACAGTTCAGCTTGAGAAAGGTACTTATCTCCTCTAACTTTGGACTTCTGTCATTGTCAGAGGAGTGAGTAAAGCTCCTAACTTTTGGTATCCTGAATTACTGTTTGCAGAAGCTCCTTCCAGAGGAGTCTGTATACAGAAGTTAAAGGTGTGAACGTCCACCCAGGAATAAATGCCTATAATTCCATTTTAATCTTTTAAAAATAGGGAAAGGGGTTTTAAGTGGTGTCTACCATGTATAGCACTACTGATGTTGGTTTAATGTTTTAAGGAGATAAATAAATTGCATCTAAAACCTTCTCAGACTTATTTAAGTTATGCCTTTCATGTGATAAACAGCAATTTGTTTCAGATTCTTTATATGCCTTCCAAACAAAACTTTACCCTTTAATGTTCATAGTACAAGTAATTAAGACTTGTTTAAAAATGTTCAAATGATCATTAATTATCACTTTGAATTTCAGATGGTATATCTGCAGATAAATCGATGGATGATGCCTGGTTTTATCCACAGCTCGATTCAGCAGCTACTCCAAACCGTCAGCAATTCCTGTGAGTAATCTCTTATCAAGAAACGGTAGCAGATAGCAGAACTTCAGAGGTATTAGTACTCTGTAATTCATCTAATAAGTTTATAGAAAACTCTGAGAACACAGGTTTACTACTTTTACGCATTAGTCCAGTAAAACAACTGAAAATTACCTGTGTGCTAGACATTGCTAAACATGCTTAAAGATGCACTGCTCCTGCAGCCCTGTTTAGTTATAGACATTAATGTATCTCAAACAGTCAAAACATACTTGAGATATATATGACTTTCTGCTTGAGTGTGGCCAATGCTGCAACGAAAGGGGGAAACCAGGTGAATTGTACAGGTCAGTAAGAGGAGTTTAAGATAAGAGAGGTGTCCTTGTAGTTCCCTACCTTTTATGTGAATGGGACACTGTCCCACCTGCCCGTGCTGCTCTCAGTTGTGACATAAGGTAAAGGCAGACCAGCAAAAAAATAATGTAACAATCAGCACATACAGTTTCAATAGTTTCCGTTACTTTCAATGTATTACTCTCTCCTAGATTTGCAGCTGAAGCACAAAACAATAATGTAAGCAACCCAGCTGGACATACATATAGCAATGTGAGTAACACTCATGTTCACAATAATCATTCTTTGCTGGCAACTGTCAAAATGTGAGAACTGTTTGGATTTACCCCGACTACTCTCCAAATGGGATACAAAGATCTATTCTGTGGCCCTTCTCCACGCCTCAGGGAACACTCTGTACTCGGCCACCAGGCCAGCTTTCCTTTCCTCTTTTGATACCACAGGCGCTAAAAGGAAAGCATATTTTCTTGGGTCCAGCACAATCTCAGGGGAGTTTGCAGCAAGCAGTTACTCTATTATTTGTGTTTAATCTGTTGCTGTGTGAAACAAGCTGAGATCTTCCCCCAGAGCCCCCACAAACACCAAACAGCCCACCCAAAAACCCAAATGCTTAAACACCGAGTACAGTGTAGGACAAATAGCATATGCTGCAGGCAAAACACCCGTAACAGAAGGAATGCAAAGAATATGAAGGGGCTTTGAGGTAATGTTATGAATTTCAATGCTGTTCTGTGGTAGGCAGTATGAAACAGAAAAGATGAGAAGCAGCCTCCAAACACACATGCATATACCCTATTTTAAACCACAAGTAAAAGCAGATATCTGTATTGTGAATCCTGCAGTCTTTGAGTCTGCGTAGCCTAACAAATTATACAGAAGTAAATTGTACAAATGGGCTATAGATAACACTAAAAGATGTTTGAACTTCTTGCGAAGAATGGAGATTAATTAGATTGGTAACTGTTGACCTTGGAATTTACCTGCTATAGTCTGAGAGTCTACAGATAAGTCAGCAGTTACATAAGTTAAGTCAAACCAGTTCTCGTAGAACAATCTGTTCACTCACTGTTTTGTTTCATGTCCTTAGTTGGCGACTCCTTTAAGCCCAGTGCCTCTGAACCCAGTAAATCTGCAGACTGGACATACCACATCATTAAATGGACCATCCCCAGCAGGTAATGAATACTGCAGACCACCTGACTTTAGTGGAGATACATTTTTCTTGTTAGAACGTAAGGGCTTTACATAATGACTGTTAAAAGACTAGGAGTAGCAACAAACATTGACAAAATCTCACAGGCTCATGGCTTCTCTTAGACATGTTTGTCCATTTTAGCATTTAAAGCAACTAGATACATAGGAAATAATCTGCTACTTTCAGAAGATACAAAAAAAGTAATATTCTTTGCATGCTTTTAATTTACATTTGAATCTGGATTATATCTGCCTGTCTTTATTCTTCAGCTGCATCAAAGAACAAGTCACCATCACCTCATTACTATGAGATCATGGAATTTGATCCCTTGGCTCCCACTGAGTAAGTAACTTTTAAAATAGATAATATACAGTTTTCTTAGGTGCCAAAGGCAAGAAGAATTCTGAGATGTTTTCTTTAGAGGGAGAAAACAGACCATACTATTTAGATTGTGTTAGCTGATCAACTGGATAACTAACATAATGAGAGTGGCTGCTTTTTGTACATTTTCTTCCAGTATTTCTGGCATAACCAATTAAAGAATGAGCTCCTATAGTGCGCTTATTGAATGTCATCTGTAAAGCTGGTAATACTGTGTCAAAATGATCTTACTAAAATCCTATCCAGTAACGTGGAAAGGTGAATGAAGCATGGTAAGGGTCCTGGTGGAGGAAGCTGATTGACGCTTCAACACAGGTAGTTCTGGAGCAAGGTAACCAGAGTAATTCCACATCACAGGAATTGTGATTTTTAAGAATGCCGTTCTACTGCATATCAAAAAAATCCTCAATTAGAATATAAGCTACTAGAGGGAATGGATGCTGGGACTCTCCAGTGGGCCAAATAGTCAGAAAACTAATATGAAACTAAACAGATGGCAGAAGTCTCTACCAGTAAATTTCAAAAAAATTGAACCATATACACAAACCTTACTTCCAAGAAACCATGACATTCTGAGATAATAAATAAAATAAGCTTTGTTGAGATTTTTCTAACTAGTGCAGTAACTGCATGCCACGTGGCATGCTTGCCAGTTGTGTTTTGCAGTCCTGTTCCCAAATCTATTTCATCAAAAGTGACAATGTCCAGAGGTATCTCATTAAATGTATAATCTCAGGCACACCACAGGATTGGCTCTCTGTTCCCATGGAAACCTGGGGGTCCTGCAGCTGATGCTACTCCATTTGGCAAACACTATAAACTCCTGGCAGTTCATGCCTGGGCAGGATTTCATTGGTGGATTTTGTCAAAATGAAACTGTGGTGTAGGAGTCACCCTGTTTCTCTTCTTTCAGAGCTATTTATGAAGAAATTGATGCTGTGATGAAGACAGAAGTTAAAAAGGACGCAGAATGCTGAAAGTGGAGGTGTTTATTTTACTGAGCACACGTTATTCTCTGATGCTGGTCCTGTGCAGCACTTCTTCTAACGTACAGTGAATAACAGAACAGGTTTTGTATTTTGACACAACAAAATATATTAGAGTACTAAGCTGTGTGGAGGTTGAAGAGTTACTTGGGTCTACACCATAATTTGTCCTGAATGTTCAACTGTGTATTCTTCAAGGTGACTTGCATGAGTATTTTTAAAGTATTTTAGAGGCCTTTAAAATACAATTGCCAAATTCATCTGTGTATGAAGTAACGCTTGATACACAAGTAAACCAAAGGACACTTGCAGCTTTTTTTCCAAGGTAACTGTTCCTTTGTATTGCTTTACCCCTTCATGCAGCAAACAAAACAGAATGTTGTTTACAGAAACTGCAGAATCCGGTTTCTATTTTGGCCTCATTGCTGTCTGCATTATTCTCCCTAGAAATTTATACAGGAGTTTTGAGATGTAGGACATTTCTAAAATTGGGCCTCTTGATAGCTGTCTGAAGACATGCAGTGTTACTTTCCTACATATGTAGCCTGAACACAGATTCTGGTTTCTTCTAAAAGCCCACAATATAGTTGGATTTTTGTCTTGCCAAGAACCTGAGCTGGGACATGAGGTGCCGTCATCCATGATTAACAGAACATTAAAAACCCTGCATGTTCCTGTGTTGTTGTTGTTGTTGTTGCTTTTATTTACTCAGTAAATATTGGAGGGGGATCAATCATTTCTTTCAATGTTCCTGCCCTGCAGAGATTGCTGTTCTGGTGAAGGAAAAAAAATAATCATCTACAATGCAGATGAGCAGCAGTTACACGTTTAGTCAAGTTGTTTAACCCTGTTAGTAACAGTTTTCTCTTTTAATAAGTGCCTTATCTATTTTAATGCTGAATGTAAAATGTGCACTTTAACAGGTCTAGTTCTCTGAATTTATAATTGATATAAAATTTGAGAACGTAGTCTATGTTGATATCTAATAAGCTTTTTGTGAAATACTGCATTATAAATGCTCATTAACTGTTTCAGTGATAAGTTATCTCAGTTTCGCAATTTTTGTAGCATAAAATTCCAAATAAAAGCAAATGCTTACTGAGAAGTTAACCACCATCATTTCTGAGTTTTTACTAGACTGAGTTGTGTATTCCATGAAATACTAAATGTAGATATTAGTATTTTAGTGTGAACCTGCAGCGTTCCATTGCGTAGTTAGCGACTTTGCAGTTTGCTGGAGGACCATTGTAACACTTCATCAAAAACACAACCTTGAAGCAGAGGTGCAGAGGTAAGCTGCTTTATTATTTTTCTTGTATTATTTGCAATGGTCTGGCCAGCAGCCTGAGAAAACTGCTGAAAACAGGATTTGAGGTGGATTGATTTTCCCCTGCAGCTCAGTTGTATTGGTAAAACCCCAGCACGCTGAAGTGTAACAAATGAAAATACGCTATTTGAGTATGGTAATCCATACTGGATGATTGCAAACTGAGCTTTTCCAGATTTAAAGAAGCAAAATGGTCGCAGATGGATGAAAGGGAACTGGCTAATGACTGAGGTTAGAGCTTGTTTTATAGTTGGAATGTGGTCAGTATCTGTGCAAACCTGGTCTTTCAGACCTGGAGGAAAACCCACGTTTTTATGAAAGCGGCGCTTGCCAGGGGGATACTCCTTTTCTTCTGAAGCACACGGACAGAATAAAGCAATGTGTGGAGAACTGTCATAATCAGTTCAACTTTTAAAAAGACAATGGACTAGAGACAGCCCAGGTAAGAATTTTATTTTTTCCCCCTAGCCTGGATTCAAAGATTTGTCTTAATATTTTTAGTAATTTTTTTCTGAAGCATAGCTGGAATTACAAAGCTTGCTGTTATGTTCATACAGATGTATTTCACTTGTGTGGGCTCTATATGTTCTGCTGGATGAAATGCATTAGAGAGATGAAAGAATGAAAAATTTTAAAACTTTAATAAATCCACAGTGAAGACCTGACATGAATGTCATCCAGAATCTATTTAAAGAACACACAGAACTGGTAAAATAATGCATTTTAAAAGTGGCATCCATTTATTTTCAAAAAAACACTTTCTGAATTATTGCATCCAAACATAATTGAGACTGAAGTAACTGGAAGTTGTTTCTGATATACTTACTACCTTTTTAGAGTCCAAACAAATGAACCCTATTTGTGTTGTCTTTGTTAGATCTCATCTGCTGACAGGGGTAGAAAGAACTGGCCTGGTAGATGAGAAACTGGGCTGGGATTAATTCCTGTCTGAAAATGAGCAGATCATTTAAACTTGCTCTGCAACTCGCTCCTCATTTCCAAAGCTGTGATAAAGTGTTATTATCCCTACCCCACAGATAATGATGAAAAGTTATATAAATACAGGCTTACGTGTTCTGGTGGTAAATGAGTACCCAGAGTGCCTCTAACAACCCCTGTGCTGCTGGGCAGGCTTTGTCAGACTTAACCTCTGAATGGGCTTGATTTCCTTTGGCTTTCTGAGGAGACTCCTATGCTATTAATTTAGCCTGCAATATAGAGCAGTTGTTTATGTACTGCCTTTCCCTTCAAAGCATTTCATACATGAGCCAAGCTTGTCTCTGTGTAGAGGTGCGTGGCGTACGGCCCTCTGCGGAGTGAAAGAGCAGTCATTAGCAATACAGGTACTTTAAATGAGTTGAACACAACATGGAAATTTGAAGGTGGTTTTTCTAAATAGAAACCATCCCACAGATTTGACGTGCTTCCATTTAAATTACTGTTCCTCATTCAAATGATAACAGTTTTAGAGCAGTGCGCTCTTACCAAATGAACTACTGATTCAGTAATAATTCGAGAAGGTGCATCATCTTAATCATCGTATCCTCCTGTGCCGTGGGAGGGTTACACAGCAATACAGTCTAACTTTGTTTAGTTTTGAGATTTCATGAACTGATTACCTGTTTTTACCCTTTTATATAGTAACTTACACAGAAGTTACTCTTCAGAGCCAGCAATGCAATTTTAGATGCTTAATAAACTGATCTGTTCTCTGTATTTAAATGAAGATCTCAATTTACATTTGGGTTTAAAAACTGGCCTCACAGTATTTAGATAACATGTACCATCTTTTAAAAAGATGGCTTGAGAAAACCCTCTCTTCCAGGAAGTGTGTTCCCTTCTATTGTCTGATGAAGAAAAAAATATCCCTAAGAAATAATATTACAACTATGTAACTTTTTGTTTAAAAAAATAGAAAGACATCCTTTCATAACAGCAGCATGTACCCATTGTGGTTTAATAATATAATTTCATATGGCACAGTATTCCTGCAGTTTTCCTTCTGTTGAAAAATGGTTTCAAAACTGGTAGTCCGGTAGCAAAAGTCAAATAGTCTCGAGATTGCCCATTACTGATACCCAGGAAGTGGTAACTTCTGTCCTTCCTTTGCTTCAAAAAAGGTGTAAGAGAGGGTGATCAAATCAACTTTAGCCATTTTAGGATCCTCTGCAAATTCTGGATCAATGTAGAAGAAGACAGGCATGTCCACTTCCTCTTGAGGATTTAGCCGCTGTTCTTCAAAACAGAAACACTGGAGGACAGAGGAAAAAATCCAAAACAGTTAGACAACAATAGCCATGGTAAACCTTATCTCTGCCAACATGATAGAAAGCTTCGTATTTTAAAATCAATTTGCATTCCCTGTATGTCCCTAAAATCCTGGAAAGGATCAACAATATGAGCAACAAAACAGCAATTCTGTTTCTCTTTTGTTACAGGAGCAAAAAAGAAAAAAGCTTTTAATGAAGTGTCCAAAGGTGCAAATTGCCCAGGCTGGCTCACACCGTTACTGCCTGCCTCAGTGTCACTAACACTAAATGTCATATATTTGGGAGCTGCTCTAATTTGGCTGAAGCTTGTTATGAAGACAGACAGGCTAAAAGTGAACTGTTGCACTGTCATTTGAAAAAAAAAGGTATTTTCTTAAAATGTTGGCATACAAAGAATAGTATTCAGGATTAAAATGAGAAAATGTATGGATAATGATTCTTACTCATGTAAAGGAAAACGTAATCTTTGTTCACACTTACTTGTATTTTATTGAAATACTGTCCTGCTTCAAAGGGTATTACATTGTAGGTAGAGATTCCAATTATTGGTTTGTCAGTAGGATTTTTCGCTTTATAAAAAGCCAGTGCAGTCTCTCCTGGTACCACCTGTATGAAGTAATTGCATGGTGATTTTTAATCCGCTGGAACCTTCCAACCCTCAGAGGTTTTTAGACATTAGCTAGAATTAGTTCATTTTCTCTTTTGCTGTTTCAAGCTCATTACTTCTCTACTACACAAATATTTTCCTTATAGGCATTTCACCCCTATTCAAAGCATTAATAATGTTCTATGTATGCATTTTTATCTTGCCCAGTTTACCACTGACACTTCTATTATTCTCAGCAGTTTAGCAGCATATAGAGCTTTCTTAATATGGAGGTTTATATATGGTGTACCTTTCATTTCTAAGGGGATTATGCTTTCAGTAGTGGACTCAGAAACCAATTAAGAAGCATGACTCCTTTTGCGAGTTTTTATTCAGTAATTTTGAACAGTAAAGTTAGGTTAAAATCTTTTGCTTTTTAAAATACAGAGACAGTCCTGCAACGATAGGGGCAAGAGGAGGAGATACTAGGGGTACCCACAGGTATATATAGATATATGTAATACATGTTGAGTATTTGGTATATATAGATATATATAGGTCTATATAGGTATATATAGATACATATAATACACTTTTTTGGCAGCTTGATGGAATGGCAGGGGAGCAACTGCACCTGAACTGCAATGCAAGAGGCAGCACAAGTCCTGCCCTCTGGTAGGAGACACCGGCCCTGCCTTCCCACCCGGCACCGAAACCAGATTCCGCAGGGGCGGTTCGGGGCTGTCCCCCGGGCGGAGGGGACACCACAGGGGCTGCGTGATGGCTCCGCACCATCGGGACGCCGGGGACGGAAAGGTACGGGGTAAAACCTGAGTTTTTCCCT